CAGTTGACTTCACGCACCATGTGTTTTCTAATCTTGAGGCGCTATTTAAAAATTACATAATTGCTCGCATCTGGAAACATGTGTATTAATAGCATATTTTTTTGTAAATCAACATCTTCAGAGTTAACCGTCCTATCTGTCTTACTGTTCCATAAACTTGAGATCAATTAATTCCTTTTGACTCGTTAATTTAGTTCGAACGTCCCACCCACTTTAACTGTCATATGATCGGCTATAGAATTTATAGATTCATTCCCGTTCTTAATGTATTCACTATTCATCAATCAGGATCCATTGAATTTCGACAGCGTAACATATTACAATGATGATTTTAACTGAAACCGTTGCATGTTGTTTATTATTACGATAGGGGTTAGGTAAAGTAACTATTGGGTTAATTTGGGTAAATTGAATTATCCGAGCTCATTATTGTTTCTGCCGTGACTGTTTTTTCTATTGATCAATTGTTGAAATTATAAAAAGTTTGGTAACTTGCGATAGATTATGTAACGTACAATTTGCTGGGTCATACTTTTACCACACCGTTCATTGTTTATTTATAATAATAACGGATATGATGCAGTCAACCATTGCAGAATGCGTTACGTCTAATATCTGGGAATTATAGAAAAATCTTTGCATAATTTCAGAATACGTTACATAATCTGAAGTACTAGTTTATAGTTTTGATTTTCTATTCTATGTAAACGCTCAAAAGGGTCTCAATACTTTATAACATTAAAAATTAATGGAAATTGTATTATGATTTTATGTATAGAGAATTTACAACAACGAAGAGCATTCGAGCAGCTCTAAGTGTAAAAGTTGTCAAGCTCAGACAAGATAAAGCTTTAGGCTCTGCAATTAATCTTGCTATACATAGGGCAGCCATCTTCCCTTTGCCGCTAACACTCGGGCCACTGAACTGTGCAAGTGACATTCACATCGACCTTCACATCAACTCCCAGTATCGATACAGTCGTTCATGCGCATCCAACCCTAAAGCGTTAGTATGTAAACTTTCCTACCTAGACAGAAAAACAAGAGGTTTCGCACAATTAAATATTTTAAGGTTATTCCAAACCATGGAAAGCATTTAATATTTCTCTTCTAAAACATAAGAAAAAATAATTTCATCACTCGGCAGTCCTTGATAACTGCTGCTGATTATTGGTGAAAGCTTCAACTAGATAGATACTAATATGTAAGATAAGCGAAAGTATTAGCGGCCTATGATGAAAAGTTACTTAACACTAACAGAGCTTCCGTATCTAAATTAGAAATGTAGTGAATGTAATGAAATAAAAGAAGTTTATGATAAAGTAAGGTTCCCACTTGGCGTTGATTGGTGAAACGAGAATAATGATAAATACGATTCAAAAGATAAAAATATTGTTGATTTTTGAAAAAATGTTGTCATCTGTCCAGTTAGTTTTGGGTTTTTTTAGATACAAGTTGCTTACAAATAACATATTTCTATTGCTCTGATTTGCATAGTTGAATATATGAATAGTGTTAATAACAATAAATAAAAATAAAATCAATATATTTACTTGTAGTATTCTAGAATTTGTTTGTATACATCAATAGAATTATTACACACACAGCTAAAACAAAAACCGTTGAAGAACATAGATGGTTTCATGAGTATCTATCATTTAACATCTGCACTTTTAGCACGTGATGCATGATGTTAAATAATTCAGTTAAACTTTAATAATGAAGCGCCCCACGCTTATTTCAGTTATATATTATATCTTAAAATCAACTATAAACATGGCTTACTCTAAAGCCCTAATGAAGTAAACAGAGAGTATATTTTGTTTATTTTTGACTTTTAATTGCAGTAAGTAAAAGCGTGTTTTTAGTTTTTTAAACTATTAATTTATTTTTCTCTTTTCAGTTTATTACAAAACATAGAACGAGTTTATTGCGACTGAATACGTATCCTCTCCATTTCCGATAAGGCTTCACTATTGCAAGACTTTTTTTATTAACTCCCCCCCCACCATTTAACTTGAAAGAAACAGAATAAATTAAGACGAATCTAATGAGCCCAAACTCGATATGTTTACTAGTAGGCAGTCCAGGGTCCATCAGCCACCTTCCAGTCCATCATCAAGTCCTCGTCATCAGGAGAAATGAACAGAATATGTTAAGACGAATGTAATGAGCCCAAACTCGATATGTTTACTAGTAGGCAGTCCAAGGTTCCATGAGCCACCTTCCAGTCCCAACATCAGATCAGCTCGGTGGTACCATAATAGTGTCATCTAATCTACATATGTTTACCCAGTTAAAGAAAATCTGATCGCTTAAAATTGGGCAGAATTGAGTTCAAACAAGTCAGTTACACACATACAAACAAACATAGGTGAAACTAATAAAAGTGTGTTAAAAACCCGGCTATAGGTAGACCGCTTGTCGGGGGACGAAAAGGGGAGACCGTGAGAGGTGCGGGCGGTAGGCACATTCTTGTCAAAATTACAAGCGCCTGCTGCCCGCACCTATCATGACGCCGTTCTCTTCTTCCCCCACCTGTTCTCGTCCTCCTCCAGTCAGCAAAGATTGTGTACAGCCTGGACGAATGCTAGACCTTTAAAATAGGTAAAAAGTGAAAAAAACACACACAGGACGAAACCCATTTCAAAAGGCAGAGAACAGATTAAAAAAGGAAAAATTAAAACTTAAGGAAGGGAGGAACGGATTATCGCAATTTTCGGGGAAATTACAACTCTTATCCAAAGAAAATCAATGGCATGACAAATCAAAAGATACCTAAGAAACAAAAAAAAATCAAAAGATCTTCATGTTTTTCCGAAAATCGCGATAAACCGTTTTCCCCCTTAAAGGCAATCCCGCCCACCTTAGCGACCTCAAATCGCTCGTAAATTAATTATCCTTTTTTTAATATGTTCTGTTTTTTTGTTGTGACAAATGGTAAATATCTGATACTGGCTGCTTCTACAGACAAAGCGACATTTTGTTGTGTAATGGCGGAATGCATATCAAACTAATGTCTCAAATGGCAGCTACCGAAATCGGAACTGAGATTTTATTTTACAGAATTGCACTACTGGCCTACTTTGGACGTGAATCGTTTGTATCTATAATTTAATCCAAGAAGCTTGTGTGAATCTGAGGACGCTTAGTATGTGTGAGGACGGTCATAATTTTGCTACTGGCGACGTTCATAATAATTAATTGAACTGAAATCATTATTTTTAAAATGTCCTTGAATATTATTTGTTATGAACAGGCGATTCGCGATTCCAACAATGACAATAATTTTCCATCAGGTCACGGCCGCAAATGAAAAATTTAGTATAAAAGAAATTTATTTTTAAAACGGCTGTTATCAATATTATTAAAAACTCAAATATAAAGAATGACATTCCATGACAAATACACGACATCTTTTTTAAGTTAAGGTTTTTTATAAATGTAGATTTTCCACACAATAGATAAATACAAAATGTAACCATAGAAAATAAAATTATTTTCATGTAAAAAATTACAAATGACTGTGAAAATATCAACGGTATAGATGCATGGATTCTGATTAATTTATTTATGATGTTTCCCATCCTTGCGTCGTCAGAATTATGCTGATGACGCAGCCTGAAAAGGATGCGAAATGTCGTAAATAAACAAATCAGTGCATCTATACCCTTGAAATGTATTATTTAATCAGTGGTGTGCGTGAAAACTTAAGTAATATAAACACGTGAATATAGCATTGTGGTAACAGTATGTCATGTATGTAGAAATTATTTTATAGATCAAATTCCCGTTACGTCATTAACGGCAAAAGAACGGATAATGTATACATAATTCGTCCATAAAAGTTTGTCTCAAAAACGTAATTTAATTTTACTAGAAAAAATCTAGTTAATCCACCTGAAGATACTTTAACTTCCCTGAATCGAATGAATATGCTATGTAGTATCCATACATAAATTAATATAAATAATTATATCTTGGTTCTCTGCACTAATCTTGCCTTAGTAATGACTCAGCTTTTCTACTTTCACAAAAGCCAGTCAATAGTCTTAACTGAATTAAAATAAGAGTATCAAATCGAGTAATAGATATATCGTAGCTAGATTTCATAAAACTTCAGAAACATGTCTTTATTCTTAAGATAATTTTCGTGTATCTCGCGGAAATGATTATTGCGGAAAATATCTTGCATAAAACTGGTATGTTACAACGAGCAGCATTCGCATTCTGCTTACCCATTGCGAGATTGAAAGCAAAAAATAAACAAAGTACTAAAGTTTCTCAGAGAACAAATGTTACGGGTGGCATTCAGATAGTTGCAGACAGACATTCCATCGATTCTACTAACGGGTGCAGTAGTCTACATGCGGTTAACCTTGCGGTTACTCACAGATACTGATCGTATTCAATTCATGAAGAATATTTAAAACATATATTTTATTTAGATACTTTTTATTATTTAACTGTCCGCCTGGATCGCGGCAAGTGCAGATTCGAATCCTCTCTGAATTTTTTGTTGATATGTTTATTAATAAAAACTTATTTTATCACCCACGCTGCTAATTATACACGCTTACTAAATTAACAAAAGTTGATTTTGTGTAATAAAAAATACCATCAGAGATTTCATAAGAATGCGATGATTCAATCATTTGATTGCAATGTCTTCTCGAAACTGTGTTTATTGCTCGGCGAATGCCAATTATGACTTACACTCCCTTATTAATAAACGCTAAAGTTTTGTTCACTTAAATAACGTATATCTATGAAAAGATCATGCTTGATATTTGTTGTAAACATGAAAAATACGCATCCAAATCTATTCATTCGTTTAGGAGCTAAGATGCCACATACAGACACACGGACACTTCTTTTTTCGTGGGGGGTTAAAAATAGAATTCAAACTTAAGAGACTTTACGTCGTTTTTTTGTTGTTGTTGCCTAGGTTATATTATCGGAATCTTTTTAACAGGTTTCTTTTTCTATCTCAATTTCAGCAACTTAAAGATGAGCTCGGTGAAGTGGTGGCCGAACTGGAAGCGCTGGACGGACAGGAGGAGTGCAAACAGAACAGCAAAGCCAAACAGATGAGCATAGGCAGAAAGAAGTTTAACATGGACCCAAAGAAAGGTAAGCTTGCCTTAAATGTACAACCATCTTGCCATTAATTACAATAGTTCTTTGATTTTTGTGACTGTAACTGACTGAATTCTTATTTAAATTGGTAGTTTTTATTTGGAATTTTGGCATTATCAGTAGTTTAATTAAATGTACGTAAGTAGTTGCATGTTGGTTATATTTTTTCCTATGGTATGTCAAACAGGTGCAGCGTTCTCACGGGTCGAATAGTCACTTGTCAACATGCACAGTAAATTGTTCTATTCCTGCACTGTAATGATTACACCTGCCCAACGTTCCTTTTGTGGAATGTTATAAATTATTGTCGTCCGCGACACAAATGAGGACTGCCCTCATTAGCAGTTTTCATAACGTTTTGCATGTTGGTCCCCTTTAACGTCCTAAGAATTGTAAAGCTTACTGTATTTTTATTTTTAAGCATTTAATGATTAAGCTGCTAAATGTTTAAATCTAAAGAAAATTTTACTAGAAAAAAAAACAGTCGGTCCGGGTTTCAAACAGGGTTTTATTGGTTTTGTTGCTATCATACATCTTCAGAAGTAGTCAATTCCTCTGTGTGCCGCCACATAATTGTAAAGGTTAAAATAAAAGTTTTGTTGGTTTTATCGCTATTAAACATCTTTAGAAATAGTCATTTCCTCTGTGATAATGAATTTTCCAAACAAATATGTATTGAAAGAATTCCAGTAAAACATTATTTGAAAATACGTTATTTTTAAGAGATTCATGATCAAATATTAAACGTTAGATCGTGATAAATACCGACACGCACCCGTGTGACTGTATCGATGACTTCATACTATGACATGGTTGACATTAGTACGCTCAACAATTCATCCTTATGCCTCTATTCTATTAGGAATTCCAAGAACACACTTAACGAGTAGTTTTATTTATTCAATATTATCCCGTTTAGCATTCATATAATATATACAATGTTGCTTTCGTGCTGCACTTTTCTTAATAATACACTAACAATTTGATGTTTGTAATTTTGTATGTATCGTTCGTTGTTACCGTTATAATTTATATCCTCTTAAATTAGAGCATGTTTCTTCCCTATTTAAAGAAGATGTTATTTAGATTCTGAAGCACACCTATATATATGTAAATATGTAAGAAAATTAGTTGTGATTAGTTGTGATTATTATGCAAAGTCTTTTGAAATATCGATATTTATATCGAAGTCAGTAAAATATCGATATCCGATATATCGACCATTTTAACTCGATATTATCGATATATCGATATTTTTTCCTTTTTATTTCTTATTAACATTAGAATACGGGGTGAGTGTGACACATTCATATGTTTGTTGGTGAGTTTCTCGCAAAATGCATTGAGCCAGCTTTTTCGTTAAACACGCTTGATGAAATCGCGCCAAGCAGATTTTGTTTATTGGCTCGCATGGCTTGTGTTTCAGCCACGACAGGAAACCAAAAAAATTAAATTATTATGCTGATCAGATCACTCACATTCGTTAGTACGAATGCGCCAACCCGCATATGTGGGACGACATTTGCCAATGCCTTCGTTAAGTTTTCACTACATTCGTGCTTTTCCAAGCCATGTCGGTTTTTTAGCGCACATCAAATACGCAAATTGCTAAGTCTCCTACACATAAGAGGCGTGCCCATGGCTTCAGAATAGGGTAAGCCCAAAGCTTCCAAAATTACTATACCTATCTTACTTTCTTGACTTGGCGAGCTTAAAAAATTTACGATTTGCATAAGATTCTTAATTTTATTTTGTGTTATATTACAATGATATTAAATTTCAATTAATCAGTAGTTGACAATTATCTAGAAAGAGAGGCAAGGATTTTATTTAAGTTCATGAGTTACCATTAGTAATACCATTATACCTATATACGTTGATGTCGATACTGGCATGATTATGTAAACTTAAAACTAAATTTAACATCAGTCTTTCCTTTTCATTCTGTATAAAGAATGACAAGGATACACTGTTGTTTAATTTTAGGTTTAGATAATCATGCCAGAATCCACACCAGTTTAGTATAATTCTTGGGGTTCAAGATTTTTTTAATACATCTATAAGCTCTTGCGATTTCAAAGCAATAGTTATTTCGATATTATTCAATTTAGATAGTCATAGCAGATAAATTAATTGATATTATTGTGTTCAAATTTAGTCTACGAAATATCGATATTTTGGAATTTCCGATATCGATATTATCGATATCAGTGAATTTTAAATATCGATATTCCGATATATCGTTGCAACCCTAGTTGTGATTTTTACTATAACTTTGTAAATATGCAACTATGTCATGTATTTCGAACATACAATTAGGTCACATTGTGACTTACAACAGTGTCCTCGAGGACGAGGCAGTCGTGTCTCGGACTGAACACACACTTGAAACTTCGCTCACTCTTAACCTACTAACTGAGTGAGAGACCAATGAAATCTATCTCGTTTTCCAGAATGAGATAACAAAGTTCACTTTCTGCGAATATTAGTTTTATGGTTTACTAATAGGGGTCACTATCAAGTAGTATTATTAAAATAACCACTGAACTTTTACCGCACTGCAGTACTTACACTACAAGATATCCAACTTTACATGAGAACAACCCCGTAGTCTAATTCGGTTATTTCAAAAGTGCCAGTATTATTGTCCCTGTCGTCGTATTGCATAATTTCAGTTAGAGCTTTTACATATGCAATGGTCATGCATAATTCAAATAATAATATACACTGACACTCTACTTCAAGGGCTTCTTTCTCAATGGGATATGCATATAAATTGCATGGTTCGGTTTCCTTCCATCTGCCATAGGAATTTATTTAAACTGCACAAGGCTTCTCAAAATGTTAATGCCTTGATATTCTGTATAGGTATTGATTTGATATTATATTACATGTATGTAATATCAATTTGTTAAGAATCATGCCTGATTTTTATTTATTTTCTGGCTTGCCGTGAACCTACAGCTATTATTCGCGAATATATATGTCCGTCTCAAATTGACGAAATGAAAAGTGTTACCTTTTTATTTTCGTTTTGAGATTTTTGTTTTATTTAAGCCTTAAATGCATGCAAGAGTATTTTTAATCAAGTTGCTTAGCTCGAGGAAAATTTTTTAGCATGTAAAATTAAGAAAAATACAGTTTTTATTATTTATTGTAATTCCAATACTTCACAGTATTAAACGACAAATTTAGGTTGACATAAAATAGATGTTTCAACTCTACAAATTAGTCGGCTAACACTGTCAAAGAAGTTTCTTTCAATGTCATCAAAATTTTTGCCGTAAACTACCTATGTTGTTTCCAAGTAAAAAAACGAAATCTCAAAAGAAGAGATAAAAAACCTCAAAAACGTGACTCATTCCATTCGTGCACGAATACTGTTTGTGGTTCTGAACTTTATGCGCCTGTTCGAAAATGAAAACGAGTGGAGTCAGTGGCGAAATTTCGTTTCAAATTCGTTCGTTACCGAAATTTCGTTGCGGAGAAAGAGAGTAAAGCTCCAGTGGTGAGGTGTCAAAATATCGGCCGACAGTCAACAGTGTGTTCCAAATTCATTTGGTGCAAATATAATTGAAAAACGTGATTTTAATCCAACTTTTAAGTTATTTTTAATGTTACGTCTCATATTAAACACACCTTGATTTATTTATACGCCTAGATAGAGCAATCCAAATTAATTACGCAAAAAAAACAGCTCTTGTTTCGAGCAATGTGACTCTTAATGTCAAATTGTACTAAAGCAGTCAATGTGTGCGGATGCACATATTTATTGCAACTTAAGTACGTAACGCATAACTTTTTTGGTACCTACTTTTTATGGCGGTATGGAGTTCACTGGGTCAGATAGTGTAAAATAAAACCTCACCACTCGACGCCGACGCTAGTGCAATTCCTGACGTATTTCTTCTGGCTCGGGGGAAGATAAATTACCCCTTTACAGATGGTATCAAGGATAATGAGTTTGCATCTTTTATTGAATAAGAATTGGATGTTGTTGCTAATCTAATGACGTAATTGATGTGCTTGCAAGTTCTACAAATATATAGTTATAAATTATCTGTTTGATTGGATTGTCAAATCTAAAGATCTAGCAATATTTATATGATTTTTAAGATTTGTTTATGAAAAATGTGTTCACAAGAAATATTATAATTGCGTGCCCTGTGGTGCAAATGTGAATTAGCTACATTTTGAATATAGAATTCGCATATTTTAAAATAGTTTATTTATAGCACTAGTAGAGCATGATAAGATAATATTAATCTCGTATTGCCGCAAGGATTACAGTTCTGTAACGGCAGACAGAATAAAAGGATCTTCAATATTAGTATGGCGACAGTTGCGTGGGTGAGTGACGTCACAAACATCGGAGTAGGTACTGCGGAGTTTCATATCGAATACGAAATGACGTCAAAATCAGAAAGTATAATAGATTGATTTAAAAGGGAGTGTAGGTAGAAATTTATTATTGATTTCTATTCTTAGACTGAAGTTTATCTATTTGACGATTGAAATCTAAGTAGAACTTATATCGTATAATTTTGTGTTGTTTTCGCCTTACCATCATGCTAGCACTTCATATGGCTATTTGTATTTCCTATTTGTCATTTTGACAGCATGTTGTCCTTATCATACTCTATAGGAAAGAGATTTGTCAAGTCAACAAATACCAAATACGAATAGCCATATGAAGTGCTGGCATTTCGTTCTAAGTACGAAATCAAATTGTTCCGTGAAGGTTGTATACAATTGCTTCGACTGAAACGGCAATACACGGTCATCGTGCGCTTTCCACTGCAACTGCCAGGAACCCCAGGCTTTCAGCCCACTCAAAAATACTTGCATTCAGCGAGTCGCTCTGCTTGTTGACAATAGAAACCGAGTGCAGAGTGCATTAAGAAAAAAGACGCCACTATTTTACGTCTGCGTCCCAAGTCATCTCTTGATAAAATGCTATATATACTTTTTTTTTCTTTGTCCTACTGTCCTTTATAGTTCGTTTTCTGCGAATCACATTAATCTAAAAATCCGTTGAGTCGTTTTGCATAATTAAGTAACAAACATACATCACGTTTATAAAATAAGAAGGATTTACCAAATAGCAAATAATTTAAAAATTAATTATAGTTTACTTATGCGTTAATGACGGCGACCGATATCTTAGGACAGAAAAAAATTGCATTCTCAATGTCAGGGTTACAATTGTGAATAAATCTTAGTGTTTACTTAGTTTTTGTTTGCTGTTTAATTTATATATATATATATATATATTTTTTTACATTTTATGCAAAATTTATTAGAAAAAAGTTGAGCAGGACCTTGGCCGATGCCCGAGATGTTTGACAAGAAATAAACAAATTACCATTAGGCGTAGCTTTCAGATATTCATAAGTTACAAGCCAAGCTTGTAACCGCCCTAACCGAGTAAATGATATTGAATTTGAATTATGGATACATGAACAAAAGGTAGCAGTATATTTACCTTTTGTTTTGTTTCAGGAATCGAATATCTCTACGAGAACGGTTTGCTGCAGAGGACGCCGGAAGACGTCGCCCAGTTCTTACACAAAGGCGAGGGCCTCAGCAAGACGGCAATCGGAGATTACTTGGGGGAGCGGTCGGAGTTCAACGAGGCAGTACTCAGGGCGTTCGTCGAGTTGCACGACTTCACAGACTTAATACTAGTCCAGGCGTTGAGGTGAGATTTGTGGTATGAATTGGAACAGTTTGCTGCTGATGACGCCCGAGGACGTTGCCCAGTTCCTACAGAACTGCGAGGCCTCAGCAAGACGGTGATCAGAGACTACTTGGGGGAGCGGTCGGAGTTCCACGAGGCAGTGCTCAGGGCGTCCACCAAGTTGCACCATTTCACTGACTACTAGTTCAGGCGTTGAGGTGACACTTGTAGTATGAATTAAGATGGGTTTCTAGGTTAGTGTAATGGCTGTTTACAATTAAGGTTCAAATTGAGGAATAAAGCATGATATTTTATTGGAGCCTCCACCCCAATGTTGTTAAGTGCAAGTTGGGTGCTAGTTTCTTCAAAAGTTTTCATAGTAAACCTCTGTAAGGGGTTCCCTTAGGGGTTGTTGTTTCGAAATTCATTTGGCATAATACACTTGGCATACTCTCCTATAAAGGATTATATTGACGGTTTATTTTGTAAATATATTTTTTGTTTGTCCTAAAGATTATATGTCGGAATTCACAGTGGCATACTTTTAAGATCCCAGAATTTTATTAGGCATCTGTTTACCTTTGACAAAAAAAACTGCATAATTTCGTTAAGCATTACGTTTATATTTATGATAGTGGGTTAGGTTAGTGTTGTGACCGGAATTAACCTGATATAATGGATAAATATAACAAGGAAAAGTTAAAAATATAATTTGAAAAGATGATTTTGACTGCAACATTTCCGCCTTAAATATTAAATGTATGCCTAAAAAGTATTTTGGCTTACAAAAAAAAATGCGTCTGAATATTTGCTGAATGAGAAATTGCCAAATGATTTCCTGCGAAACGAAGTTGATGCCATCGCTGAAATTCATAATAATATTATGACATTAAAAGTTCTGCGATACAAGGTAGACCCCTCTGTAACTCTATGGTACGGTTACTACTTCCCATCAGGCGGACCATGCGCTTGTCTGCACCTCACTGACTTAAAAAAATCTAGTTGTAGTTATAGCCATAGTGGGTAACAAACTTGAATGTAGCTTCTCTGTATGGAAAATGGCATGCTGTGCTATTTTTTATGAAATAGAATACGTACTTAGTACCTGACTGAAAGCGCAACTCAATCAAGTAGGTGTCTTTAAACTGTTTGCTTTCACCGCCAATCAATCTTAACGACTTGTTTGTTACGGTGTTCAGCCAACACAGACATGTTTTGTAAAAAGATCCATTAAAGAGATTAACGACACATACTGTTTGAAAACGTTCCCCCACTGTTTTTTGATTCAAGGCTATCAATACTTTCAGTCGTTGGAGTTGGACTAGAATAGTCCATTGGACGTGACGACCAAATGTTGAATCTAGGCTCATCAGTAAATAATACTGTTCTAGCAAGTACTAATTTACGTTTATTTATAGAATATTTTTATAACCTTATTCATTTTAGAATTTTAATACCCATATCTCCACAAAAAGTTACGCACTATAAATGCTTATATGGTAAGACAATAATGCGATTTTAATACTTTGTTTTCCAACGGCCATTTACTGCTTACCTTCTACGTAAAATAAAGTAATGCAATACTCTTCTCAGAAAGCCACTGTGTAATCATGATATCAGTTTACACTACGGATGAAGAGTCGAGCCAAATATTTTCTTATATTGACCGCAATCTGATAATAATTTCCTTTGCCTTGAATAGCTTTATTTGTTTATGCCTCCATGTTGAATTAAGTTGATTGCTAAACCTTGAAATATCCTAGTTTTCTTTCTAATATATATTTAACTTTTATTTCATCACTTTCAAAATAACTCTGAGCGAAATATTTACGTTTTACACTTTAGATTCTTAAACATTTTGTCATATACAAATTATCACTTATGACTGATGTAATTAACTTCAATAATCAACAAACCACAACGAATTGTAGATCGTCGTAGACTTAAAATTATGAATGTCATATTAACTTAGAAACTAAATCATGTGTAATCGTTTTCGTAAAATCGCTAGGGTTTTTGCGAAAATCAGATCAATGATATCATCCTACGACGTATGCACTGTGCAAACGTAACATAAATGAAGATGAACTTGTGAATTTGGAATAGAACGATTTACATAAAATAAAATAATTTAGGAATATCTGTTTGATTCGGAAAGCTTAATTTTGTAACCAATTTCATTAGGTTCGATCGGAATAAATTAACAAAGTTTAACCAGTTTGTAATTTGGTCTGCGCAATTTGTAGGTCATTATACTGTTCTTTGTTTTAAACACGACATTTTTCCCCATATGCCGTGCCGTCTGTTGACGAATATCTACAAAACAGTTTTATATCTCTTTAGGTGTCTCTACTTTAACAATTAGCGAGTTCATTATACTGGCTTGTATACACATTGGTCTATTTTTGCACACATTCTTGCGAAATAAGGATTATCATTATATCGTCGTGGTATAGGTGTGATAGATTAAAAGTTTGATGTCATTTATGAGATTTTATATTTCTATAAAGGTCTGCCTCATTCACCATATGCGGACCAAGTCATTAATACAGAATTTATATCACAGATAAACTACAAATTCACAGGTCTTAAATTGTGAAATCTTAAAGATATAGATAAATATATATACTTATCAGCATCCTTTATCCCTTGGATCGATTTTTATTGTAGATAACTATCTGAAACTTTATTAAAATGTGGTCCTTAGCGATGTACTCCTATTGTTGCGATAAGACCCTTCAAAGTATGTGAAATTATATTTTATCGTTTGAAGGAAAACCGTAATAAGGCATCTTAAATTGTGGTAAGGTCTAGCCGATGTCTGTATTAGGGTATATATAATAAGTAAGCTTTCTTACAACTATTGCCCTGATAAGCCGAAAAGCGGTATATCAAACCTTATTGAGATAGCGCTTTTCGGCGTATCAGGGCAGTATACTTCCTCCCATGTCTGCTCACTCTACATTCGTAGTTGTGACTTATAGTACAAGCAAGACTACAACTGCAACGTACGTATTCATTCATATAAGTAATAAAAACATCCGTAATTCCAGACAATTCCTATGGAGCTTTCGGTTGCCCGGGGAAGCGCAGAAAATAGACCGAATGATGGAGTGTTTCGCTCAGCGGTACTGTCAACTGAACCCGGACATATTCACGAACGCGGACACGTGCTACGTGCTCAGCTTCGCGATAATAATGCTCAACACGTCGTTGCACAATCCCAGTGTGAAGGACAAACCGGCGCCGGAACAGTTCGTCGCCATGAACAGGGGCATCAACAATGGAGGAGATCTACCACAGGAACTGCTCTTGGTGAGTTGTTTTTGTTTTTATGGAGCTAATTGCTCAATAACAAGTCCTACAAAGTACAAAAATAAATTAAGCTCTTTTAGGGAGTAGTAGATGGATAGCTCATAGCAATGACCATTCATCGGATGGGAGAACAAGAAATTATTAACTACAGCTCGTCCCTGCTTCGGAAGGCACGTTAAACCGCTAGTCCCAGTTGCAACATCTGCAGTAGTTAGTACCCACCAATCCGCACTGGGCCTGCGTGGTGGCATGACACTATCTCCCTATTCTATCCATCTCCTTCGGGGATATGTCTGTGCCCCTGAAGTAAGGGCATAAATACTCTAACGACTAAATTAAATTTGCCCGTATAGTAAGCGCTGTAGTCTCAATTTATTGCAATTAAGAATTAAATATCTTAATTAGAAACATATAACATGATAAGTGGCCACTGGTGGTGTCGATTCTAGCATGATTCTCTAAACCTAAAATTAAATTTGACAACAGTAGTGTATCCTTGTCATTCTCTATACAGAATGAAAAGGAGAGACTGTTGTCAAATTTAGTTTTAAGTTTAGTGAATCAGGCTAGAATTGACACCAATATTTCTTTATAATGGTATTAGCATGCAATAATATTGCACGATATCTCTCTCTTTTGTGACATGACGCGACAAAAACATACTTGCAACACATTATCTAACTAACTGTATTGTATATTTTAACGACGCTCTTTAATTAATTATTATAGACGAATATAAATGTTATCGTCCGTAAACACATTCCAGTATTCAGTGATGCAGAAATGAGTCTTAATTGATGACGTTAGTAAACAAAGTTATGTAACAACTAGTCTTATCTTCTTCCCACTATTTACGTATGTCAATGTGATAATTATCGATGGCGCCGCTTCGTGTCATTCACTTGATCTTCAGTCGAAGGAAATTGATATTCCAGATCACATCACATTTCGGTTGGATTCGATTTCGTGTTCGTATTCATTTCGTTACAATAATAATTGAGAAACTATAAAGGTTTGTGTTTCTAATTGAAGAGTGAAATCGTTTATAGGGATGTTATTGCCTTGCGATTACAACGCATGGATTTTTAATTTGATATTTCCGATTTGTTTAATGACCTGCTAACAGATTAGTTTCATAATTAGTATGATAAATAAACCTTATAACCTTATATGTGTGTAATTAACAGATATATTTCCAGGTTCATTATAGTAATTAAGTTTTCGTAATAATGATAAGTTGTGTAAATATGTATTCTATATTACAACGAGTATATTCTATTTCAGTTCTCCTTTTTTGTTTTTTTTTCTGTTAAATATATTAAATTTAAAGTTTGTATAGCTGATTCATACTAAATGGCGGTACAACTGAATTGATTCAGTGACATTCCGCGCGTGTATAGCTAGCGGCAAATATTTCGAGCAATACCACAGACAAACTTGCGCAGTAGACGTTATTGTTATCTACCTATGCTTCTTATTACCCCAAGTTTCGTTTTCTGCGTCTAACTTCACACCTACCATTAAGTTTGAAACGCATTATGAAACAAGCATATAGGTGGTTCAGTGGTAGAAAGTTCGCCTCCTGCGCGGGCGGCCCGGGTTCGAATCCCAGCCGAGGAAAGACTTCTTTATAAATGATTGGATTAAAAGTTTCACTTGCATCGTAGTTTCATAAAACCGCACTATTTTTTATCAGTGCAGCTGTTAACAATAACGTTTTATTTTGTTATTGCAGTCGTTATACGAGTCTATAAAGACGGAGCCGTTCAAAATACCGGAGGACGACGGCAACGACCTTATGCACACGTTCTTCAATCCAGACAAGGAGGGCTGGCTCTGGAAGCAAGGCGGAAGGTAACATGAATTTCTTACTTTATATACTCTAAGTCTGTGCCAGTGTAGATAATCGATTTTCTATACAAACACTTCCCGACAGTTCAATTTTCTTAGCCTATGTCCTCCTCCGTGATAGTGAATAGTGTCACTTAAAAAAGTTAATCACAAATAAAAAAAGGTAGTGACTGTGACTGGTGGTCGAAATTCCACAGAAAGGGTAGAAGTACTTGAATAATATTATCTCATAAGTGTTTAATGAATTAAAAAAATGGAATGTAAGTTATTGCCTTATTGGTAGTCTTCACATATATTTTTAAGCTTCATTAAAGCTGTTACTGTAACTTCCTTTGCCGTAATAGTAGAAGCAGAAGAACCTTGTCAAGCACCAAATATAAATTACATTTTGAATACGGGCGTTAATTTACTTACAAACATAGAAATGTTAAGTTTGTACAGTCAAATAAACGAACAACACCTGTGTACTTTTATTTCAGATACAAGTCATGGAAGAGACGGTGGTTTATATTGAACGATAACTGCCTGTACTACTTCGAATACACGACGGACAAAGAGCCCAGAGGCATCATTCCATTAGAAAACATATCGGTAAGCAAGGAACATCTTTTGAAAATACATATATGAAATAAATGAAATGTACTATGTATTTACAATAGGCTATTTGACAGTATAAAAAATAATTTACCAATTGTTGGAATTTGTATTTAATATAATAATATAGAATATAAGTAGCGATTTTACTATTATGAGAGAACAAATATTTATTTTTTACGTGTGTCGTGTGACGTCACACACTAGTGAGATGCCATAATGCCCAGAGAATCGTCGCACGGTAACATAAAATTAAATTTTTAATTTAGTGTTTTTTACTGAAATACACAACAGAATGAAAAATATCCTTTTTATGGACTCCATAAACATTATAACGTGATATGTGTAAATAACGTGAGATCGTTTTCTAAAACTTGTCAAATACCCTATTGACTAAAAATAAAGATCGATCAATTTATAATCTTAAAGTTAAAGAATCATTAAGAGATAAGTTTAAAGAATTTGGAACAATGACGGTCGCATCACAATACATATACGAAAATTTATTACTTGTAAGAAAAAATATTAATTTGTTTCTTATAACAGTGATGTTCACACAATTAATACAAGAAACAAAAATAAACTAACTTTACCTGCTACTAGGCTTCACAAAATTAATAATTCATTTAAAGGTCTTTGTGTTCGCTTATACAATAAAGTCCCAAGCAATATTCAAGAGTCAGCCATAAATAAATTTAAAGATATTATAAAAAAAGCACTTATTAAAAAAGCTTATTACAAAGTGTCTGATTATATTACAGACAAAAATGCTTGGGTTTGAACTGTTCCAATCATTCCAACAGGTTTTCTATATTAAATAAATCATAATTGTATTGACGTTGTAACAACATAATGATTTGTAAATGTTGTTACATTAGACTTTTAATGTTGTGGGGTTTTTTTCGCTCGTTTTTCTCCGCAGCTAAAAAATATGTCCATAACGAGTGGTAGGGAAAAAAAATTTTTGGATGATTCAAAAGAGTTGTACTATACATCCAATTTGAATAAAGATATATTGATTTCTGATTTCTGAAAGAAAATGACTGAGTGTAAAAATAAATTTGCAATGCAACCTGGCTATTTTAGGCTGTGTTTCCACAGAAGCGGATCTAAGCTGATTCTTAATAAAAGTATGTAGTTAGTTTGAGCAATGTCATTGGTAAATTTATTTACTGCTCAGCTCCGCACAACTTCTTTCCAGTGGAAACGCAGCCTTATGACCTGCGCAGGCGACAGACTTTTCTCCGCGGAGTACTTTACTCTGCGTATTATGAAAAAGTTGTCCGCTGAGGATTTGTCACGAATTCAACGCACACGGTGTGCGGACATTTGTTGCTCGGAAATTTTGTAAAGCGCATGCTATGGAAGCAATATTGTGATTACGTTGTATCGTAATTAACATAAAGTTTCAGGAAAAAGGAGGTTCTAAAAGAGAACACTGGGTCATGGGTCCATAACCCTATATCGCTTTATATCAGATTGATTATTTATTTGTGTTGTTGAGATTATTTATTATGTTTTCACTACAATATTAAATAAAACAATGTTTCACGATCTTTCTCAAAGATAATTTAATATAGTTTAAGCGTAAAGCGATGCAAAACATAGGAACAACATACTTGAAGTTGAATTAATCACTCAAAACAATTAAAATAGTAGGCTCAAAAGACATGATGCTTTAGTTTTTAATTCCAGACTTTGTCTAAGTCTGGAATTAAAAACCTACTACTACTTTACATTTCTGGTGATATCAATGAACGCTCAAGAATTCCCCTAACAAATGTTTTTCGTTTGTCCGGTCTCTCGGTGTCTGCGTTAGTTCGGGGAACTTTTTGTCCGCGGTATTTTTAATCCGTCGTGTGCGTTACTCAAGGCAGTTGTAAGCAATGTAATACGGCGGACAAAAGGCCCTCATTTGTGCAGGCTATTGACCCCCTAACGTTATTAAATGAAAGTTCTTTAGCTGCTCTTAGATAAAGATATCCAATAATCTTATACAGAGTGTCCCACGGGTTGGTCGCACGAAAGGAAAGTATTTTGCTTAAAACATCAATTAGCCTAACCCCAAAGTAAACTAAGTAAGGCTTGTGTTATGGGATACTAGGGTAATGGATAGAATACATATATTGTACATTATATAAGTATATTTATATAGAAATACATATTTAACATCCATGACTGGAATACAAATGCTTTTATTCATCACACAAACATCTGCCCCCACCGGGATTCGAGTCGGCGACACCATGAAACTCGGCCACGCAGGTCGTCGATAATAGATATTAAATAATGAAGATAGGATATTTTACTGAAAGAAGACATCATTTTATTTGTAATAATAAGTAGAACTGCATTTACAGGGTTTTTAAAATCGCCTGCTACAAATGGGAATCAAACTCGTGAAATTTGAAAAAAAAACCACCTGACGTATTTTATGATAACCAACCAAAGGGTTCATCATAGGAATAATAAAAATAGTCATAAGGATTATTTTTTCCTAAATAACTAAGCATTTTAAATGGAAGAAAGACATGAAATTAAAATTTTGTTTAGGAAAATTTTCTCTTACTTTTCCATGTTTCCAACAACTAATGAAAGGAACATCATGAAATAAAAATTTTGTTCAGGAAAATTCCCTCTTATTTAAAGAAAAGTTTACTAGAAAAAAATCCACTTAGACCAGGCAGCAGTCGGGACTCGAACCCGCACCCTTCGCTATCCGGGCGAATACATTGACCATTATGCTACCGCGGCCCTGACGGTCGTGACGAATTTGCCTAGCCTTAGGCTGCAAGGCAGGGCCATCTCTTCGCGTTGTAGGTAACCCACAATAAAGGGTTCGAGTCCCGTCTGCTGCCTGGTCCGCGTGGAATTATTGCTAGTAAACTTTTCTTTAAATAAGAGGAAATTTTCCTGAACAAAATTTTGATTTCATTATGTTCCTTTCATTAGTTTAGATTTAACATCTAGCAGTTAAATGCTTAAAAAATAAAAACATAATTCCTCTTATTTGTTTAGGTCCGCGCTGCGAGCGATAGACAGCGGCCTCATTGCCTAGAATTATACGCGAGCGGGGGCGCCGATCTCATCAAGGCGTGCAAGACTGACAGCGAGGGCAAGGTGGTGGAGGGCAAGCACACCGTGTATAGGTATATATATCTAATATATAAAATTCTCGTGTCGCGGTGTTTGTGGTTAAACTCCTCCGAAACGGCTCGACCGATTTTCGTGAAATTTTATATGCATATTCGGTAGGTCTGAGAATCAGATGTAATCTATTTTTCATCCCCCTAAATGTTAAAGGGTAATCCACCCCTAAATTTTTTTTCAATTTTAGTTATATTTTTTTTTTATAAAGTTTCACCTTTCTACCACCAACCCCTATTTTTTATGGCGGTACGAAGTTCGCTGGGCCAGCTAGTTTCAATATATTTATCTACACCCATGGTTTAAAACCTCTCTTAAAGATTCTGAAACAGCTTATTTCAAACATTAAAACATCCAATGTCATAATAACTTCCAGCCTTGAAGTATTCATAGTCGTATGACCACGTTTCTCTGCTTGCCAATTCCACCTTGTAATTTCTGGCAAAATTACTCCGTGGAAGCATGTCATCTCTAGTTATTCCTAGTGGTATTGAAGCGTTGTTTGGTGGAGAGACCTCAAAACTTGGTAGTGCCAGCTCTTTCAGTAGTGCTTACTCTGTATATACTTACTTTATTAAGGAGCTGTTTAGCATAGCATTAAATGCAGCACCTGGCGTTGAAGACATAGTTCCGGTTACCATAACATAGTTGAATGTTATTATTTGCAAGCTATTAGTTCCACCACACTACGAAGGCGTATGTTAACATTGACCTTACGATGGCGGTGTACATCCACAGGGCGATTTTTGGGTTTAGACCCCATTTCGTCCCAGCTAGTCGACAGCATATTCCAAGGGCGATTTTCGCCGCCTGTATCACACTATCAATGTGATTGTTCCACGTTAATTTTGGTCGATAGTAACGCCCAGGTATTTAACCTCCGTGGAGAATGGAACTGGAATTCTTTTTAACATGGGCGTTGTAAGTTGATCTAACTTTCGCTTCCTAGTAAAAGGTATTATTGTTGTTTTGTTCGGATTTACCGATAGATTGTTCTCTGTGCACCATTTAACAATGATGTTCAGAGATCTTTGCAGGGTAGATGATACGTTAGTTTGACAGGGACCAATGACGCAAGCCACGACATCGTTCGCGTACCTATCCCTGTTTATCTAATCGTATATCAACAGTTGCATAAATAACTATTTTTGCTATGTAGGCAAATGACTCTACCCCACCTAGAACACACCGTGTACAGATAACGTGTGAATACATAGTTTAAGGCACAATAATATAACCTAAGATAAAAAAAAATACGATGCCATCTGTATGACTGGTGTGAAGTTAGTCGCAGATTTAGTCAATGCGAGCGATAAGCAGCGGTACTAACAACTAATGTCCTCGTATACGATAGTCGTCGATTACTTATTCGTACAGAATCGTTATCGAGTATACTCGAATGATGAGTCTGGACTAAAAGTACTGCCACTGTATGACAATAGGTCAAAAAGAGACCGGAAACTCAAAATATTTCCGTCTTATTAGTGTAAAAACACAGGGGAATCCTCGGTTCAAAATAACTAATGCGTCATAGCGGAAAGTAATGCGATTTATTAATATTTCAAAGTTATTGTAACAATACAATGCGGCCAATGACAGACAAATTTAGCTTTCCTCGCTACTAGATTGTTTCCGTGAATTTAGTATAGCTCGTTTTCGTGAATAGTTTGTTCCGTGAATGAGGGGTTTTCACGACATATTCGTCACCTTCCCCTGTTTTGTCACAGCTGGACCCACTCGTACCCCCCCCCCCCCCTCCCATACGATTTTCTTATATGGTTGGAATCTAAACAACTAGTTGAACTGCCGACTCGGTGTGATTATTTTCCCTTAGATACTAGATGATTCTTAGTCTTGTCTGCGACTCTGCGATATTCGTGATCGTATCTTGGACATAGAAGTAAAAAGACTTGCCCTATTGATCTATAACAATTTTCGGTTATATAATAACCCCCACGCACTAAGGGGGTGTAGTCACATATTTTGCAATTTTATATCTACTAACTACGGCCGCACGCATATACAAGAATAATGTATTGAATTCCTCTTCTTGGTCCGAACCAAGAAGAAGAACATGAGATTATTGAAATAAGAAGTCACGAAATTTACAACTTCTCCCACCCGGTTTCACCTTTGATGTACTAATGGATATATAAATAGACTAATATTCATAAAATGTTTTTCGTTTCAGAATGTCAGCATCTACGGCGGAAGAGAGAGACGAATGGATCGAATGTCTCAGACGATCTATCAGCCATAATCCGTTCTACGATATGTTAGCGCAGAGAAAACGTAAAGCTCAACACAATGCGCATGCGCCGCATTAGCGCCGCAAAATGCAGCAAATTTGCCGCAATTAAGCCGCAAATGTGATACGATATTGGCACAGCGTCCTTGCTTCTACACACTTTATTTGATAGGTAATTGTCAATACTGTAACGTGTAAAAATATGTATACATATTCTAGATTTCAATTTTTTCTCATTCATTGCAAAAATAGTGCTTTATGGTACAGACAGCCACACGTCAAGTTATACAACAAACTGTAAATTTTCTCAATATATTGTGAATCTTAAATCAAAGTAATATAGACCTCGAAGTCAGAGAAATTCGAATTTTTAGATAATTCGAACTATGGCTGTTCATACATATTTTTACACGTGATTGTGTCAGTACTGTTGCCCGTTCGTTTTAACACCAACAAAAACTGCAGAAGTTAAATTGATTTTTGAATAATGGTAGGTAGGTATATTAAAGTGAATTTACTTATATATTATACTTATATTCGAATTCAAATTACGTTTTCTACAATCATACTGCGGGCACTAATTCTGAAATTGTGTTGTGTAGCGTTGATAAATCTCTTATTTTTGTGCAATACAAGTCGCAGTGATGAGTTTTTGAAGCAGTTTTCGAATAAAGAGAGATTCCCTCATAAAGGAATTTTGCGATGCTCTTGTTTCGGTGACGGAGTTGTTCACTTAAATGAATACTTATCGTAATGTGGTTGTTGAAAAAACCGTATTTCCGATGTCTCCCGATGTGAGTATGAGGGTAAATCAGGTGGAGAGGTAAGTAGTTTTTGTTGGCTTCAAAAGATTTGTTTCAGTAAGTTCACTTATTATAGGTTCACTTTAAAATAGCACAAATTTGTTGAATATTGAGTCCAAAATGCTTTATCTGATTTCCTTTTTATGTGTTGTGTGAACGTAAGAATGATCCGGGTGAAGTAAAATTTAACACGGCAACAAAGACTACTTTTTTTTATAACAGGGTTCTTTAAGTCTTTGTTATAAAGACCTCTGCTGCACAATATCACTGTGATAGTGAAGTGTTATGACTATCTGATACGACACTTTATTTTGCAGTAGACACTTTTTCATAGTTACGCAAGTGACCGGAAGTAACTTACTCAAGTTGTAACTGATTGTGTTAAAGTATATTCCTGCCCCTGAGGCAAAGGATTTTCTATAAAAAATAGGTGTATGAATGAAAGATACGGGAAACAACTATTAGTACGTCCTTAGCGATAGCTTATGTCAATTCTGTTTTGTCCTGTTGTACTGAGATTGTAGAAAAGCTATTTGTCGAGGGTATTGAATTGACTTGTATGAAGGGCTTATATAAGAATATAAAAATGAACGTTATCGTGATATTTTTTTTGATATATCCGATTTCCAACAAAGTATTATTGATGCTGGCTTGTAGATAAAATATAGGCCTAACTCAATCGTGGAATCTTATTGTTATGTAAAGGGTTCGTTTATACGGCTATAAAACGATCAAAGAAAACGTCCATCTTTTAATTTATATAAATTACGAATATATGATGGGCCAAAAAAAAGGCAATTTTTTTGTAAATGAATACTTATAATTTAAGGCGGATTGTAATACAGCTGACGCCATGACAGTGGTTACACTGGCACTGCAAATATGGCTTCTTTTGCTACGTATTAAAGGTTGCGTCATTCTTACATTGTATTACCGCCAACTAAGCTATCAAAGGCAGATACGATTGCGATTAGTGTGCAATACCTTGCCGCATTCTATCGCGTTTACGTTAACGTTATTTTTTCAATAAAGAAAGATATGATGGTAATTATAATATCGCATCCGTAAACGATCTGTAGAAACCTAGTATTATACTAAACAACCTTTCTTGATCTTATTATTTTAGTGCTCTGCTTTTTCCACTAGATGGCGCTCGTCGAGTACATGGTTACGCGAATACGATAGAGTTAAAAACTCGTGTACACTAATCGCATTCATTAAATCTACACTCCCAGACACATCTATCGGCCCACTTAGTGTAAATGTTTCAACGGTCTGTAGCAAATATTATACGTAAGGTTGAGCAATAAAAGAATATTAAAAAAACCTTCAAAATTGCGTAAAAACTGTTTGTAACTTTATTTTTAGCTAGGGACCGTCAAAACTTGAAATGCTAGGTGGGTCGATACATATCTCCGGAAGTATATTTTATAATTAGTTTGAGACCAAATGCAGCTCGTATAGATTCTTACTTAATTCTTAATTAGTAGCTGAATGATGAAATGTGATAATAACGTGATGATGAAGGACAGAGTAGACTATTAGCTTAATGCATATCACAGTACGTCGTCATTATTTCACGTGTGAGTTTCATGGCTGTCCGTGTAGATCGAGTCCATGTAAATAACGAATGTAAGACTGAACAATTTATAACGCGTCTTCTTGATATTAAATATTATTTTCAACACATTTGCCTAAAAAAAATCATTTACGAAGGTTGTTTGTTAGATTGTTCGAAAATTCAAAATTGCGGGCCATACTGCTGAGCATGCGGTAAAAATTCATTACGCACGCATCCATACATGTCACCGTGCGTTTTCTTTACGGTTTTTTTAAATTTCGATCGAACCTCCTCGGAATCGCTTTTAGTCTATACTTATGACTCCTTAATACTAAAAAGAAAAAGAGACGAAAGATGTAGTTCTAATTTTCACCACCCGCACGTGGCGCTATTTGGAAATGCGCGCCATTTTGTTATTAGAAAAATTGCTTAATTACTTAAATTATGTATAATGTTTTCTCGCAAATGTGTTGAAAAAATTGTAAATTGTATGACATTCGTGCGGATTGGTATTACAAAATCGTGACTACGGTAAGCCCTCTACGTCGTCTCGGGCTTACATTCGTTTACTTGTTTGTAATTACCAACTTACTGCACTTATATCATAAATAAGTATTTGGCCATAATATTATATTATTGAACTGCCAAATTTAATTGTTTGAAACATAATTCACGGCGTAGTATAAATAATTATGATTTACAAACATCGGCCATGCTTCTCGATGCTTGACAATAGCAGCATTTTACCTGAAATAAAATGCATATTAAAATACTTACCTCACTGAAAGCTTTATATTGAGATAGCACTTCCGTTTCCCGTCGAATTACCATCAGTTTCCGTACTTTTATTCACCTTGTATCCGGTCCAGTGGCGACACCTGGCAGAAGCGCGGCCATTTTTGTTTTCCTAAGTTTTGACAGCGCCATATTAACTCATTGGCTCAATTATTTCACCAGGCAGAATTTAAAGTGAAAGCTTTCAGTGAGGTAAGTATTTTAATATGCATTTTATTTCAGGTAAAATGCTGCTATTAAACTACTTGACCGTCACTGAAAGCTTTATATTGAGACCTGTTTGTTATCGCCTGGTGATCGCCACGTACATAGATATATACGCCAATGTGACAATTTATGATAAATTTAAATATTAACATTTATCCGATTATATGAAACTGTATAAAGAAACGAGCAAGCTTAAAAATGAATCAAATAATATTATTTGAATCACGCCTTTAATTTCTTCAAGTTTACGAAGCTGCTTTAACATATGTATTAGCTGATCGCTATATTCCTTTGCTTAAAACTCGCGAAGTATATATATATATACTTCTACATATATTTGTTTTGTTAATGACCGGACGCTTCCTTGTGTAGCATTCATTTGTATCTTTGTATATCACAAATAAGGCGTACGAACGAGAGAAAAAGATGTAAAGTTGTTCGATACTGAGTCTTACATTTTACAAGACTGTACTTTTTACTTAAGTACCAAAAATCAGGGTCCCACTTACGATTACCATTATTCGGTACAAGTCACCAATCGGATTGTCTTTAACTACTTTCACCTGTTTTGAACCAAAACAAGGCTAAACTAATCTTCGTCGGTACAAATACAATGATTCGGGATAATTTGAAGTAGGAATAAGTCATGTGTACGACATGCTTAACCAAATAATACGCAGCATAATTACTGTATGACGTTCAGAACAACATATATGACGAAGTATTTGAAACAGATCATTATGATGTAACAAGTACATTATTGAAGAAAAGGAAATAAGTTAACTTATAGATACAGAATAGTAGGTTACGGACTGATTCTTTAAAAACAATCGACTTCAATATATGTGTTTGCCAAGACAGGTGAGCTTAGGTAATTAGACTTATCATCCATTGGTATATCATGTAAAAACTACTGAATTATTTAAAATAATGGTACTTATTTTAAGATAAGTCACGAGTTAAAAATAAGTATCTCAAAAATCGTGTTAGTTCAGAGCCGAGTCCACAACTTGCGGGATTATTCCGATAAACATTCTTGTTCCTAGACCAATGCAACCACGCAAGCCAGCGTTCCCGAGCCATCTCATAGCTGTTTTTAAGACAGAGCTGTCGCTCTTTGTAGAATATGTTGAAAAGCGTAGTGCTAGCATATCGTGCCGTGTTCTTCAACTATACTTCCCAAGCTTTCATATTAGATTGGCGGGAAGTGATTGCAAGGTCGATTGCAGTGAATTCATAATTATTGTTAGAAGTAGGGAGTGGTTGATACAACCCCACGGAATAACAAAAATGTTGAAACCGATCAACTTCTGAAGTTTACGTTTTTACAACGAAATTCTCTGGTATAGTTTTTATATTGTTGCTGGGTTGCCGTGATAAATTATGCTATTCCGAAGTTCAGACCAGATTTTATGAAATTCATTTGCCATCCTGGAATCTATAATTGATTGTAATTTTTCTTTTGTTTTTCAGTTCTTAGATCTGAGTCATTTATATGTATTACTTAATACTAAATAAAGATTTAGTTATTTATAAGATTTACACAGCTTACATGAGGTATGCATGTACTATGCGTAGGGTTTGAAGTATATTTATTCCAGACAGTCGTGGCAAGGTTAGAAAGCGTAAGTTTAATATTAAGAACAGTTTTCAGTAATTTTTACTAAAATAACATAAAGGGGATAATTGCATACAATGATCTTCAAAACCTTTCAAGAATTTGGTAGATCGTGCAATCTTTCTTCAGTAACTAGCACCACTTATATATCAAAATGATCATGTTGGCCACCTCAGACACCACATACACGACATTTCTAATATTGCAAGTTTCTCTCATTACGCGATCAAAAGAGTGAGCAACCCATTTGGTTTACTTTTGTTATTTTCAAGAGAAAATATGTTATCTTCTATTTATCTGGCAGATAGTCTTTAAATTGCAGAAAACTTAGAATTCTTTACATATTTTTAGTGTACTGCACTTGAGATTGGAGTTTGATATATATTGGATTTAGATAAACAAGCTTTTGAATGGCATGCGATACCATTAAATTTATTTAAGAATTATTTATGGAGCTCCCAATTTATCAACTTACCTGCACTAAATTTTTTCAAACATTAATTGTTTCGATATTCCTTTTTCTTTTGAAATGTATTATATATTACGGTAGAACAACCGTAGTGATCGAGTCAACACTTCACACCAATTAGCCTAGCCTTATAATGGGCATTGAAAGGCTTGTGTTATGGGCTAACGCCTAGAAATGCATAATGATGATGCATAGATCAGAATTTATTAGATTAGATTTTAAATTCATATTTGTTAACAACCAAAACTTAGGCACAGATGCTCGTTTTTATCATACAATGATTTGCCCCACCGGGGTGAACCCAAGACCTCGGAGTATGCGACACCTTAAAAACCACGTACATTGCACTTCCCAACGGGGTACGTCAACATTCGATGTTCGATCTTTATAGTCTATTAAGAGGGTAGTTTATAGCCGATACTTATGTGTGTACGCAAGCCATGAGCGGGTATGTTGCGTTGCGTTGATGTATGGATTTCCACGCGATGGAAGTAATAAATTATGTCAAGCGACATTTTCAATTTACTTATTTTTAATGTTTCGAATCGTTTACACTTTTACAGACCCCATGGTCACAAAAATAAATTATGAATCACGAATAGACTACATGTTATATTATGCATAATTTGCTCCACTCGAGTGTCGTATGTTACCGGTGCTTACATAATAGTACGAACTCTATAAGCGAACATGTTCTAAGGAGAACATATATTGATATTCACGTAATGGAAATAATATATTATGTGTGATATGACCCCACAAGGGCGATTATAAAATTGATGAGGATATTTCTCTATCAACGATGTTTTGTTACTGATACTTGTATGTGTAGGCAAGCCAAGGAAGGCAAGTCCTTATTCATAGTGAGTTCCATACGGAGGAAGCAAATTATACATAATATGCCCCCGCGAGGGGCGGTCATCAGAGTTTTGGTAATATGCACGCCGCGAAGGTGGTTTGCTACCGGTACTCGTATATGTAAGCAAGGCATTAGAGGTATTTCATAAGGTTTCACGTAGTGGAAACAAATTGTATATAATATGCACCCCGCGAGGGTGATTTGCTACCGGTACTCGTATATGTAGGCAAGGCATTAGAGGCATTTCATAAGGTTCCACGTAGTGGAAACTAATTGTACATAATATTCACCCCGCGAGGGTGATTTGCCACCGGTACTCTTATATGTAGGCAAGGCATTAGAGGCATTTAATAAGATTCCACGTAGTGGAAACAAATTATATATAATATGCACCCCGCGAGGGTGATTTGCCACCGGTACTCATATGTGTAGGTACGCCATGGGAGGGCATGTCCTGACACGCCTTGGGCTTCATGAGATGAAGCTTATGAATATCACTTGCCTCTGCGCGAGTTGCTCATTAGGTTGATGAAATGTCAATCACTTAAATCCATGACAAATACTTAATACGATAAAAACAACCTCATAGATGGTATCTTATTAAGTGGTGCTTCATCACAGAGATCACTAACTTCTTGCAGTGCTTTAGTTTTTACTTTTTAGCTTTGTGCTAGCTGTAAAAGACCTAAGAAACGATTCTGTTATCTTATCACTTTCGTTATTAAAATCAACTGAGCAGGTGCCTTCCCGCAATGATTCATTTTTATTTTAGAAATATGCAATTGCTGAAAGAAAATTAATGTCAGGAACGTGATATATCATAAATTATCATCATACTTCTTTACCTCGTTGTTTGTTTCCAGGTTGATAAAGCCTGGACTATGATTATAATTTTTAATTTACATCAGCATATCATTTAAAATAAACGTTGAATGTCTTTCGAACAGAGCGTTCCTTTATCCTAGTTTAGTCACACGACTCATATGAGAATTTTTATTACGTGTATTGGTCAGTAAAAATGTTAGAACTTTTTATTCATAAGCCTTTAGATATTGATAGCTGGCCATGTTCAGAAAACGGCATATCGACATTAGAAATACCTTATTAAGATTGTACATAGTTCACTTACCCCTCGAACAATCTTTTAATAAAAGGGCTGGAATATCAAGCTCGCTTATTTTTCTTGAGGCAGCGATGCCGCTTTCGTTATACCAGAAGACGACAAATTCAACCAATTATTACTGCAGCTGTTCGAAGAACAATAATGACTAGATCCACACATCTTGCTGTTTTTGCCAATAATGCCAGTCAGTCGGCGGCTGAAACGTCAATATTGACCGATATTCCTTCACTCTAAACTGTAAAACAATTTAATTAAGTATTTTGTAATACATTTACCAATTTACTTTCACATTTACTTATACGGAAACATTAATTGAATACCAAGAGAAAACACTCTTAAAATAGTTTTTATGATAAACGACCAAGACAGACGTAAAGAATTGCAAAATTTACTTTAATGTAGGTACTTTAATTTTTTAAACAAAACGCACCTTGAATTGCCGTTAAGTTTTACTCACGGCTTATTATTACTTTTTCAAACAAGCGTATTGCACAATTTAACATATTTGTTTTAAATATCCCTTATCACAAGGGCTGCAAAAACTATCAAAAAGAATAATAGTTTTACTTACGATTCCTTCACTTTTGACACGTAAAGTACCTATTTGGAATAACACGAACGGCAAAAAACCGTTAAAATAAAATAGTTTTACTTACAGTTTTATCACTTAATAATAATAAAACCTTTAAAATCTCACAACGATCGCTCAGATTGAGGACGTGTTGCTTCGACGGGAGTCAGAACGCCAATGAGTTAATATGGCGCTGTCAAAACTTAGGAAAACAAAAATGGCCGCGCTTCTGCCAGGTGTCGCCACTGGACCGGATACAAGGTGAATAAAAGTACGGAAACTGATGGTAATTCGACGGGAAACGGAAGTGCTATCTCAATATAAAGCTTTCAGTGACGGTCAAGTAGTTTAATAAATTTACTTGGCGTTCTAATATGCCACGTTTGAACGACAACGGTACCTATGTGTAGAACGTATTCATTGAAAGTATTACTTTGTGGATAGATGTGTGATGTAAACTACATACTGGGTTAGTGTAAAAATATTGTGTAAAGTTGTAGACTTTATTTTAGTGTAAAAAGTATTCATTGCCATTGCTTCCACCTAACGTTGATGTAAATATGGAATGATTACGTAATCAAATTTTTATTATTAGCGAATTCGGTTTGGTTTTTCTGTTTCATAGACAAAATCAAAACATTCCTTATTTTCGAATAGTGATTTATAAAATTATGATAAATCATTTCATTTTTGAAGTTTTTCATTTTCTTAGTGTATTTACTTAGTACCTACTGTTTTGTATATATTGTGGTACTCTCTCTTGTGTCCATAAAGCTATTTATATAAATGTACATTATGTTAAGTATGTATCTGAGTATACATAATAATATAATGAATTAACGGTTTGTTGATTTTGTTATCTCTAATATGCTATAACTTTGCGTCGATAGAAATAATTCGTTTCATGAATTTTCGCCATATTTTATTGGTTATTTGTTATTGTAAACCTGATCCATATTTAGGTTTTAGGGTCAGCGAAGATTTAATTAAAATGCACTTCATTAGAACTTCTAAATTACTAAATAGTTCGAGCATTCACTCACAACCCGCAACGAGCACCTGCGGGCAGTTTGTAAATTTTTGAACCATTTTCTACTTTACTAATATAGTAACAGAGCGCTTTTTCAAATGTCAACATACAAAGCTTTTCTCTATACTTCACTGGCTCTGAGCTGATCTTTTAGGTTTCGTTGGGAGAATGGTGCCTAAAACAATCGATCTGTAATAAAGTTAATGTTAGTCGTTTATTGTAATGCGCTGTATATTTGCCTATGAAAATGTTAATTTATCTCAATTGTAATGTTTTATATGACAACATATATTGCATAATAATGGTGTTGTAAATAATTTTATAAGAAAAAAGAATATACATAATATCTTTATTTAAAATATTTGTTTTATTTATTCCACAAATTATTAAATATCTGATATTCTTGTTATGCTATTATAATAAAGACTCCCGGCTAATGTGCAGTGGAAACATAACACACCACAACAACACACCAACTACGAAAATTAATGGTCAAATGTACCAGATAGATTTTTATACCTTATATATTCTGCCTGGCTCCAATTCTATTAACCTGAGGTGAAAAAACTACTCATTTATTTGAAGATATTGTGAATATTAAAAAAAATACTTGAGAAGTCAGCTTAGCTCAGCACCTCCCACCAATGCTTATAACTGAACCTATGTAGAAATATAATTCAATAACTATCCTATAAGGATTCACAAAATTAATCATTAATTCGTCACCCATGCATTGGAATCGTATCCAAGTCTATGCCCCTTCGTGCCAGTACATAGGCTGCATCGCTTCAGCTACAATGTTAAATTTGATAAGTTGCAGGCAGGTAATACACTTTATGAACCTGTAGCCTCCCATATTTTATGTTTAAGGAAACGCTTCGAAATAGTTTGCTGTCGATTTTACTACGACAACCTTCTGGTCCTCGGCCTGTAAGGTCTTTATAGAAATCATCGGCTATCGCTCCAGTTAGGTATTTGCTTTTTTATTCATCCTCCAAAGCGCAGAGCTAAGACTCTTCTATCGCTATCTTATACTATGTTGTCAAATGTTTGCGTCGCAGAGGATTACAAGAAGTAAAGCAACAAGTAAACTATATCGTTATAATCTTATTGCTTTCCGATGAAAAATAGGTCGTCGTAGACATATTTTTATTGCAAGGAACTGTGAAAGTGTTTTATGCTAATGTCTTTATTTTTTCAAAATCTAACACTGCGCTAGAAGTTTCCCCTTTATTTATTTTAGTTAAGTGACTATTTTAAGTAGACGCCTACTAATATGGCAATTAGATAACAGTATGGTTATTATATATGTACCTTTACATTATACGCTGTAGTAAATGTAATTCAGTAACTGTAATTTACGCAATGTACGTTTCACCTACGTCGGAAAAGGAAGTTGGTTCGACTCCGTCACGCGCCAATGAGTTAAAAAAGTGCTGCAAAACATATGGAGTAACTACATTATAGTCTACAGTAGCAAACGATTATTCGATGTAATGAAAGCAATGAGTGAATATTAATTGTACTATTGCGAAAATTCTGAACTGCCCACCAATATTTTCCATGCTCCACTAACGACAAACTAAAGGAAAGAATGCTTTAAGTTTCTTGGACAGATAAGGGGTAATATGATTTGGATATTATTTGTGAGCTGATAATCAGCGCTGGTTACCTTTGCTCAGGGCCGGCCCGTCCATATCGGCAAACTAGGCGATCGCCTACGGCGTCGCATTTGGGGGCCGGCAATTGGCGGCATCGCAATTTATACATAAAACAGATTTTTTTATACTAGCTTGAAAATATTCCACTTTTTTATAACATTCGGGTTTTTTTATTATGGGAACAGTTTTGTGAAAGTTTTTTTCATATACCTAGGTAGGTATGAAATTAATGCAGACAATCCAAAACATTATCTAAATTTTATTTTTGCGTTTAATTTTATTTACATCGAGATAAAGTTGTGCCAGGTTTCCGATGTTTTAATTGTTATACTCGTATATATAATGTAAATGAATAAGGACGGCAAGTTCCAAGGCCGTAGCTAGGGTATGCATTATAGGGCAAAGCCCTATGGGCCCCCCTCCCCGTAGAGCATTACCCCCTATGCAAATCATGAAATCTTAAGTGACCAGATTTTAAAACACGCCCCTGCTTATGACCTACCTGTATTTACCGCTGTCATATCTTAAATGGCTGGCTACGGTCTGGCAAATTCATATACTTAAATGAAGAGTGTAAAACAAGACTAAAAGTATGAATTGCGGGTAAATGAAGGGCCCCACTCCACACTTGTAGTGCTCGTAGCTCAGTTGGGATTGGAATCACATTCGAGTTTGCAATAGCAGATTTTTCTTTAATATTCTAGTTTTCAATTTGGTTGTTGTGTGTGTTTTGGTAATTTTATTTAATGAGTCATAGTAGGTAGGTACTATTTAAAGAGCCCGAGGCTGCTAAGTATACTGCCAGGAGAAAGAATAGAGCATTAAAAGAAAGACACAGAGAAAGGGAAGTGTAGAGGGATGGAAGGTTGATAAGGATTGAGAGAAAGCATAATTAAGGAGAGGAAGAAGCTAAGATAATTATGAGATAGGATCGAAAATAAAATAAAGTCTGCAGCAGAAGAAAAATGTGAAGTGTGAAAAAAGAGTAAAATTTTATGCTTGCATCAGTTTTTAGACAGGTAAGCAAGTCAAATGAGTTGACTAAGGACTTTGGTTACATTTAGACCTTGGGTTTTCATTAATAATTCATTGCGTATCTTTCAAATATAACAGAAAAAGGAAATACATATTTTACGAATTAGTCTATATATTCACATTTGCGCTGAGGTTATCGACAAGGCAGATTGCCAAGCGTTACATTGGCAATCTGCCTTATCGCATCGCAAAGGTCTTCAACATGGTCCAGCACAAAAGCCTTCTCTACGAGCTTCCAGCATAGTATGCCTGCTCAGTTCTGTTCCCCGGGAGCTGACTTCCTGCATAGAATTCGTGTCCTTACGGATGTTAGTAGTTCGCGGTACATGCCAGTGAATGCCGGCGAGGCTCAGAATTCCGTCTTATATCCTACACTTTTGTTCTGCATATCAATGATTTAATACAGACATGCAACGGCTGGACGGAAAAAAATAGTTTAGTACTTAAGTACTTGTACAGATTGCTTGCAGAGAAGTAACCAAGGAGAAACGGAAGAATCTTGATGGAACTTTGTTGAGTTCAATGCTTTGAAAACCCAGCTCTGCCATTTCACGGCAACAACAACCTTACATTCCCCTTCCTTCTCTTCAGGGCACAACAATGGCGCGACAGAGCAATATCACCATGGTCTTGCATTCAAGTTCGCTGATGAATTAAATTCAAAGAACTCCATTGAAAGCGTAAAAAAAGCAGTAGCCTTACGCCATTACAGAAATATATTGACTTGAAATGCATGACGTCAAGTCTATTTAGAAGTGACGCCACGAGCCCCCCTTACAAACTCTAACGCGCTTTGTCCTTGCCATTTTTTGGTTGACTGACAAAATAAAAAAAATATGTGTATTATTTTTTGATGATACATACAAATAATTGATTCCTCACAATATTCATATTACAATATAATGTTCCTAAAATACGTATTATATCAGTGTGATTGACGTCTGCTCTAGAAATTGCTTTTCAGGTCATTTCATATACACGTTGGTTACGTCCTCGACCCAACATAAACAATTTAAAATGAGACCGCCCCGTCATGTTCGGTTGAAGTTGCGCTCAATGAAGTGTCTATGTAAATGGTCATTTAAGTAAATGGTCTTACTTATTGAAATATCGGCTTCCTAACATTTTATTTATTATAATTTATGCTTCAGCAGATTATAAATAATTATCTCATAATCAAAAGATGATTCAAATATGATCGAATCCGCCAAGAAATTAGTAATGCTAAGTATTTCTTATATAATTATCTGTCATCGTAAAATTATTGATATAACGTTAGATTATAATCTATCTCGTGAGATTATAAACTGTCGAAAGATTGTGAACCGTTCCGACAATTTAATACATTACTTTTCGGTAGATGTAAATAATGCGTTGAATTGTAAGACTGTTAAGAGAGAAGGTGCACAGCGGATTTTACGCTCGAATTGGAGCGTCCCTGTGGGGAAGTAACCTTCCTTACAGAAGACCACAGTAAATAGTAAAATAACACTACCTTTTGGTGGTGTCGTGTTTCTGTCGGTGATTAAGGTTCCAGGGCTCCATGGGGGTAGGAGTTTGGGTTAAGGTAGGCGGTAGGTAGAGTCAACGGCGTGAATGATAATTTTGGTATCGCAAGTGCCTATAGGCTATGGCGGCCATGTACCATCAGGCGGGTCATATAATAATAACATAGTAATAACTACATATTTCCACACTCTCACCAATTAACCTAGCCTTAAAGTAAGCACTGTAAGGCCTGTGTTATGGGATACTAGGGTAACGGATAGAATACATATATTGTACATATATAAGTATATTTATATATAAATACATATTAAACATCCATGACTGGAGTAAAAATGCTCGTATTCATCATACAAAAATCTGCCCCATCAAGATTCGAACCCGGGACCTCTCGAGTCTGCGACACCATGAAACCCGGCGCATAAACCACTCGGCCACGGAGGTCGTCATATGCTTGTTTTCCACTGTTTTAACATAAAAAAAGATAATGATTATTCGAAGTTAAAATGTTATACACTTACACAATAATAATTTTATAAGTAGTGCAATGATAACATACGTCATCGACAAACAGCAAAAGGTTGATGCTCAAGATTGACTCATGTAGTACAGTGAAATAGAGGTGGAGAGGTGATGGTTCCAGAGTCTCTCGGTAGAGTTGTATCCAGCTTAGCAGAACTCATTTGTTCTGTGTACGGGGACATTAGTCGTATACCGCACCAGTAGAATTCTTGGGTGTGTGAGCGGGTCATTTTGACGCTCAAAAATGGTCAGGCTGCAGCAATTATCGAATGCATTTTCTCGGAAATTGAGGGGAATAAAGTGGTCTACACCTCTATAAACACTGTCGTCGAGCAAGATGACGCCACACATTATCCCGAGGAATTTCTGAACTACCTGTCAGCAAGTGGACTTCCAGCGCATACCATCAAGCTAAAGGTCGGTGTCCCGATTATGCTTCTTCGGAACCTATCTCCTCCGAAGTTGTGTAACCCGCCTTAAAGTCATTTCGCTCCACAGACACACCATTGAGGCGGAAATTCTTACGGCTTGTGGCGTCGGCGAGGCAGTATTTATACCACGCATTCCCCTCATACCTCATAACTTCCCGTTCCAGTTCAAGTGCGGACAGTTCCCTGTGAGTGTGTGCTTCGCGATGACCATCAAAAAGTCGCAGCGGCAGATACTGAGGGCAGTGGGTGGCTGTACGTCGCTTGCTCCCGCGTCACCACTCCTGACTCTTTTTACATTTTGGCTGTGGAGAGCCAAACCACTAATGTTGTTTATCGAAAAGTCCTTTAAGTATGTATTTTTACCATATTCTGTATTTCTTACCTATTATTTTTTCCATCTGCTTCAGTCACAACTTATGACTTAATTCAGCAGATTCACCATAAAGTCATTTATGAATGACTCCCTCTGTTACTGCACTTTCTGTAGATATGAAATGTAAAGAAAAAACGGGTAAATGAATGTTATTTTGAAAGGTATAATCGTAGGTATTTTTGTTGCTGGTATGCTGTATAGATAGTGTAGAGGTGTACTAATAATGTATCTTTAGAAATAAACCCTCTTTTGGGCTGAAAAAGTATGTGCAAATAAACTCCACGCGTACGAAGTCGCGGGCGGCCGCTAGTATTTTATATACTTATAACCTTATACTTATACAAGTCAAAATTTGTAGGTATTGCATATAGATGAGGTTAATAAATTGAGGGGTCTCTTACGCATGAAATTTGAATTGTTGTAATTTTCCGACTTGTTTTTGTTCTGTTGTTTTATCATGGTACGGGGCCCTGAGTTTAGGAGTCCGACTCGTACTTGGTCATGTTTTTTTTTTCTTAGTACCTAGATAAATTCAATGATTTACCAGGGTGCAATTAGACGTGCCTATTTAAGAAATATCACGCGATATAACGGAACTGTTAGCTCTGAATGCCATTGTAAAAGCATTGGCTTTTTTTATAGTTATTGCCCTTGATGTAGCTGTTTCACTTTCTTAAAAACCCGTCGTGAAAACGTTTATGTGTTGCTAAACAATAGCAAGCCGTTAATGATATTTCCCACAGATCAATGCTCCGCTGCCCATGTTATCGTCAGTTCCTATTAAAAATTCTCTCAAACAAAATTAAATATCAACCGCTGACACTATCTTGTATTGTTTTTTTATGTGTTATTTCTGCTTAAACATACAATAATATCATACATAAAATTCTGTAAATATCTCTTAAATAACAATTAAATGAATAATAATGTATTTCATAAAATGTTGTTAAGAGCCCTTTCACATTTTTTGCAAAAAATCGTAATTTTTGAGAGCCACGTTTACCCCCTTAGAAAAGGTTTTGACTATTTCCAATAGAAGTAAACAATAGATTTATACTTCCTTCTGTAAGTTAATGTAGAATATTTGCAAATACTATTTTCCTTTTTTTTCCTGATCGTTCTACCGCAGCTAGTTTACGGAAAAAACGATGATATGCACAACTTCAAACGCCTCAATCTCTCAATGATGTTCAATAAATTAGATCAAATTAATTACTACGACACCAGAAATATGTTTTTGTTGTAAAATAATGTATTAGTATCTTGTTTTCCATCTCATTAATTATTAAAAAAACATCTAGCCTCCGTGAGTTTTCCCAAAAAATATTGCAGATTTACCTCGTATTTTGAATAGAATTACTATCAAAATCTTTCATAAAATTAATCTACAATCATTGAACTACTGAAATATGTTTATATTTTTATAATGAAATCATTAATAATTATTTTATGAGACTCCAAACATAACCCGTAAAATGCAATATATACTAGTGCAAATCTACCTACGCGCCGACCTACGGTAGGCAGCGGCGCAATTTTGTAAAAAGGCTCAAAAGTTCCGAAAAAAACACATTTTTTTATGATGCACTTTATTATTTTAACTTTGTTTTGTTATTTCTGTTTTTACGACAAAAAATACACACAGACAGATATTTTTTATTTCCTTCCTACTGTTCATAAAATATAGCCATACATTACTCATGGTACAGCTCTCTGACAGATCGACGGACGTACAGCCACGGTACAAATTATATAGGTACCTACAGCTGAGTCTTACTAGTAATAAAGTTACTTATATAGGTAAACAAAGCCTAAAATATCTTCTAAATAGGTATATTTCTTTTAATTACTGTTATTTTATTTATTTGTATTTTTTATTTTGTGTTAATAATTTATAAATGTAACTAAATGATGAATATTTTTCTTGTTCGTCTGACGAATACGAAAGTGCATATAGCAACGATTCTTTGCTTTTTGATTCAAAACCTTTGCCTTACAAATTGTTGGAAACTCTTGATAAAAATCTCATTTATTTTCCCTTGTTGCATATCAACGCCCAAAGTATTCCATCCCATTAAAATGATCTTCTTACTTCATTTGACAACGGCTTAGTTGACTGTATAATTATTTCTGAAACTTGGTTAAAGCCTTCCTTTTCTAATACATGTTTCTGTATCCCGGGCTTTAAGGTTTTTCGCAATGATTGCACTGGTCTAGGGGCGGTGGCGTAGGTATTTATCTGCGTTATCATATTCCTGCCAGAGTAATCATGCATTCACCATTACACCATAAGTATTCGTTTGTTGAAATTATTATACGTCATACGAAGATTCTCCTAGCCCTTTATAGTCCAAACGATCGGGTGGATTATTTTAACTCTCTTGAGAGTGCGCTTGAGGATGAAGTGCCTGTTTACGACCAGATCACATTGATGGGTGATCGTTACACGTGTCATTTAAAAAATGATACCAGAGCTGGTAAGCTTAGTAAACTGATATCTTCTCTCAATCTCCATATTCTTCAAAAGTCGTCTCCCACTCATTATTTCCCAAACTCCGAACTTAGATTAAAACAAAAAGGGTAGATACGGTACGCTCATACTTGCATCAAACTGCAAACAAAAACTGATCCCACGGCAGCGCGAACGGGATGGCGAGATCCGCGTCACTGCATTACCGACCCGAACAAAACAGCACGTTAAGTTTCAAGGGCAGCGCGAACGAGACGGCGAGATCCGCGTCACTAGGGACACGATATCGAATAGAAAGTATCGATACTGTACTCATGAGTAGTATCGTTAAAAAAGTATCGTACTCGTAAAAGTATCGAAACAAAAGTATCGATACTTCAAAGTATCGAGTACATTTCATAAGGCCTTATCGGAGCCTCTGTGGCCTGATGAGCAACCCCCCCCCCCCCCCCCCGGTGTTAAAATTGAAAGAAAAACAGCGAATTTTATTATAGTATGTATAATCAAAAACAAAAAAAGGACATGTAAATTCACTTCATAATGAAAAGAAAATAGCTGTGATTTCTGACACTAAAAAAGTGTTCATTAATATTACATTCATAATCAAAATGTTAATTAAAAAGATCGAAATCTTAAACAATTTAAAAGTATGAAACTTTTCAGATTTGTTTCAAATTAAATTTACTTTTCTTGAATTTTAATCATTATAAAACACTATACCCACTTATATTAACTTGAATCTGACACGCAGTTAACGGCTGCCATTGGCATGCTTCACTCAAGATTATAATTATAGAAGAGGTTACGTCCGTTTTTTTTTCAGGTGGTTTCAAATAGGTATACACAGCACAGACAGATTAATAGTGTTACACTTGAATAAATCAAATACAATCAAGCGAAAAGCACAATAAACGGCGAATCAATCACAGTTTCTAACAATATGGTCGCTAAATAAATAACTATGAAACAAAACAAAGCGCAAAATAAACACAGTCACAGATTGGAAAGAATTTGAATATATCAGTTACTGACTTTATAACAACACAATAGGGCATTTGACAATATTAAAAATAAAGTGCCAAAATAACGAAAAAGATATTAGTTTTCTTATCTATTGTCACGTGACCCAAAACGCTTGGGATTGGCGGAGCCTAAATGACGCAACACGTCATTTAGGCTCCGCCAATCCACATAACACGACGTCACACGCAAGTAAACTTCCGGTCAAAGTGACATTACATTGTATCGTTTGACGTTTTAATAACAGTCGTGTGACGTCACACACTAGTAAGACGCCATATTGTCCAGAGAAACGTTTTCGCAGCAACTTGAAAATGGAGTTTTTGATTTGGTTATTTTTACTGAAATACACGACAGAATGATGAATATCCACTTTTTACGGACTCCATAAACATTAGTCAATAACGTGAGATCGTTGCCTAAAACTTGTCAAATACCCTATGGAGGAAGATTTAGAAGGTTTGCTCTGATTTAACAAGATGGCGTTGCCATCAATATGAGGCGCTTATCCAAATTTTTAAAGGTATCGATACTTGCCAAAAAGTACTCATTTAGTAAAAGTATCGAATACAAAGTATCGAGTACAAAAGTATCGGTATCGAAAGGAAAAGTACTCGATACCACAAAGTATCGATACTTTTTTCGTGTCCCTACGCGTCACTACACTACCGACCAATCACGCGACCAGTACTCGACGTCACTACCGAATAAGTTTCAAAACAAACAGCAATTTTTACCAAAAATATATTTTATAGTACTTACGAATGAAAAGTGATGCCGTGGATTTTATTTTTCGTTCTTGAGCAATTTAAGCACTTTTTAAAAACACACTTAGGCATTGTTTTATCATATAAACACAAAATATTAGCAATGTTTCTTTTTGGCGTTCACATGTACGTCGTTTGCATGTCAAGTTGTGACTAAAGCGATTAGGGTCGTGGACCACAATTCATGCGGATCACTTTTGTGAGCCTAGTGCCGTATCTACCCTTTTTGTTTTAATCTAAGACTCCAAACCACCTTTTCTTGATCTTGTTATTGTTTCTAACCCTGACTTGGTTTGTGCTCATGAACAAATGACAGCACCCATTTCTTATCATGATGATTCATCTTTCTATCTCACAATGCCAAACCTTGAGTTCGTCTTCTACGCAATTTTAAGCAAATGGATCTTGAACTCTTGAGAGTTGATATGAGAAATATAGATTGGTCTCCGGTTTTTACTCGATTGTTTTTTTTTATTATGCTGAAATTCAAAAGAAACGATTGCATGCCATTCTTAGTAATATTAAAAATATATACAAACCCTAGGATATGTGTATGAAATCTAAAAAATATTTTTACATTTCCTGAATCAGCATGGCGTAATAAACGTACTTATCCTAGCAAATGTAAACATACCCTCATGTCCTTCCAAAATTTCACAATTATAATAGCAAGCCAGGCGACTTTGAGTAGGTATTGCAAGGTTAATGAAGAGATAATTGGAAAATCGATTGCTTTTGGTGTATTTTCTTAGCGATTAAAGCCTTTTATTACGGCATTATTAATGGCACGTTGACGTACATTCATGAGCATTATTTGCTTATTGGCAAATGTAAATGTTACTGTCTTTAGAACTGCACAGAAGTATTACTCAGTGTGTTTACTCATACATAATAAGGTACCTGTAGGTATGAGATCACTTATTATTTTAAACCAAAGACAAATCCTCTCATCAGATTTTATATCTATAGTGGACATTTTAAGAAGTTGAGCACAAAAAATTGAGTTGAACCTGAACTTTGCACCTTACATTACCTTACAATAAACAAGGAATAGGAATACATACTGTATACTTACTGTATATGTAGGAAGATTTTTCGAAAACGGAAGTACTTGAAGTATATTATAGGTGTCATGATGTAGGTCTTACTAAAAGTTGAAGATTTTAGTTTTTATTACTATTTTTTTGGTAAATAATTCCATTATATGTAATTGAATTTCGGGGTAATTTGTAGGGGGGGGGGAGTGGGGGCTCCCCCCGACCCCCCGCCATAAATGATTTTTGGCGGAAATGCAGTTTTTTTTTTTTTACCTAACCTAAAAATTCATAAAATCTGTTATATGTAGTGGAATTTCAGGGGGATAGGTATTAGGGAAGACCCCTCAGAGGGAAGGGTACCCCCCCCCCCCCTCCCGGCGTTTTTTTACAAATGATAATTATAAAAAAGAGAGTTTTAAAGGTAAATCTGTACTTCCAGCGCCTAGAGGTGATATTTGATTTTTCTGTAGAAAAAGTCTATTAACAAATTTTTCTTTTTGGCGCTTCGTCGGCCGCTGCCGCGGCACGCTCGCTTCGCTCGCTCGGCTCGCGCGTTAAGGTCACAACACTAACCTAACCTAACCTGTATGAAGTATCACCACTTGGGCCTTAGATATACAGTTTAGCCGTTTAAATAAAACAAGTTTAAACACAAACACTGACTGACAGATCTCATTAATGGCGGTAAATTGTCACATTTCGACAATAGTACCAACATAATAAACTTATATTTACCATAGACAACGAGAAACATGTTATTTTTCCATAAAAAAATGGCAGCACTGATCATGAAAATTGCGAAAAAAAAAGTTGTCAAAATTGACTCATAACCTACAAAAATATTAATTTTCAATAATTTTTTTCTCGAGTTCTATTCGTTTTCGCCAAAAAAGATTTCGTGTACGTGTTTTTAATAGTTAATACTTTGCGTGACAAAAATTTCAGCTTGCAACTTAATTACATATAATGGAAAGGTGCGCCATTTTTTTTTACATACTTTGGAATTAAAAAGTTCCAATGAATTTAGTAAGAACATATTTACAACATCGCAATCAATCATTTATTTTTCATTTTTGGAGCCACAGAAGCTCTCTATTTATTTAATAAGTTTTGTACTACTTACGGTATTTTATTTAAGGTTTTATAGCAACCATTTTATATCAGTATAGCTATTAACGGGATTGTTACCATGTACTTTGTTATTTATGATGAGTCTCCGATATTTCGGCACTGTTGAAAGCGCCATGATCACGGAGTACCTGAAATAATTGCGGGTAGATGTTATTGGCAGACATATCGGTCTACCCTCTGACGTCGTCTTTTACTGCGCTTGATACCCCTACCACTGGTCACATTCTCAATAATACTGGATTAATATCGGAAAGTCATAAATCATGATAACAATAGCTATAATGTTAGTGACCATGAAAGTTTAAAACAATATTTTATATCAGGTTTTGTACTACGGCATTTTTTATACTATAAGGAAATTTACTAGCATATGGCCAAGGTTTTGATGGTGCCATTATATTCACATAGGTATACACTCACCTCGCGGTGCGGTCCATTGGCATGATGTGTCATTGCTAACCGGTCCGTCTTCTCATCACTGCTGTGACTACACTTTTGTGAAATACAATGTAGAATGAAATTTTTACTGCTCTTGTTTTTATTTATGTGATGAAACCGAGATCTCCCCTAGTAATAGAATAGTTCGCAATGTTTTATATAAAAGAGAATTTTACTCGAACGTGGGTTTGACGGACCAACTTTGGCATATTTCCACATATAGGTATCCGAGTTCAATAAAAGTTATTACTATTAGTTAGATAGATTTATTATGGCTCAAATTGCAGGATTCATAATATAAAAAAACCTTCCAATGAACTTCTATCTTTGAACATGGTTATCAATTACTGCATCCGCAATTCACCCCTCCCCCCCTTCTAGAAAGAATTAATCAATCAAATCGAACTATAGGTAAGTACCAAATGCCTTTATGGGTTCTATCACCCCTTACAGCATGCCGCCCCTGAGCCGCAGGCCCTCTAGGCAGGCCGCGCAGGCCCTAGGGTAGACTGTATTCATGATTTTTTCCGAAGAGATATCTCTGGGAACGCTCACTATAGTATTACCGTCACGTGTTTTTACAAAAGCTATGTTAACTTTATTTTTCTTGAAACGAAATTTTTAATGTATTTTTAAATATTTTAGATTTTACTTTAAAAGCTTCTAAAGCCGGTCAATAATTTCTTAATTGCTTATCTGTCAAAAGTTATATTCGTATTTACGGTGTCACCCTACATTATCCGATGTATCGGTTACATATAAACAGTAATAATAACTAGTTTATGTTTATTGTATTCATAATGCAAATGCTGTTGGAATTTATTGACCATTATTTTGTATATACTTACTATTAATTCTTAACAAATGAAATCATTACTCCTTGCATTTTAGTTGTTTTATTTATATTGTACTTACTTTAGTTATGATTATTTTCCGTATCCTTTTAAAATTGGTATGTTTATTACTTATATGTAATATACTGAAAGCTTCCTTTGCTGACTTATTTTATATGTACTACATACAAATGTCTACTAATTGTGGTATGTATATATTTTCCTTTTGTAGTATGTATTTATGTATGTATCTATTTTAATTCGTATATATATTTAATATTATTTATTATGTCGTATATTTAGCTTTATACCGCCGTTCGTGTTTTTCCCTTTTTCCCAAAGGTTGACTGGGAGAAAATGCAATTGTATATCAAATAATGTATTTTTTGTCAAGAAAGTTAAAAGAAATAAATCAATATCTAGAAGGTGAGTTAAAACAACTGTTTAATTATAAGAATAATTTAATTATAATAATAGCGGTTTGATGTGCCTGAATAAAACAAAAATTATGCGTCGACTTAAGGTCGATACGTTATGTAACCGCCTAAATGTGTGTATTCCACCCAATAACACACTACGGTATTGCTGTACTAAACTGGTAAATATATGTATGTACTTATCTAAATATGATGTGACGGAATATCGTAAGTTTAGGTTTTATTTCCTTATTGGGCTAGATTAAGTTAGTTACCCACGAAATTAAATTTGTGAACAGTGGCCTGGTATGATAATGTAGGTAATTGTGATGCAGAACTTTCTAACGTAACTTCAATAGATTTTAACGTTACTAAATAGTTTTTTAAAGAACTATTCTCCTATTGACAGATTGAGAAAGCCTTCGTTGGCACTATCCGTCAAATGGTGTTTTTTTGCCAACTGGGATTATGCATGATTATTTTTTTATTGTATTTCAAAGTTTAAATTCCCATATTGCAGTATAAAAAAATGAAGTCAATTTCAACGTAAAAAAAATAACCACATTGCGCAGGCATTTTAAACGCTCGCTATAGGCTTTTTAACAGAATGAAAAATAAAGTAGTTAAAGTATCAAATGTTGCCATCTGTATTTAATATGAATCATATCTAAAAAAACATTAAAAATAAATGATTTTTTTGTTCCATAGCTACGTGACCGAAAACACACGGATTGGCCAAGAATAAAATGACGTCACACGCTAGTAAACCTTCGGTTAAAATGACATTACATTGTATCGTTTGACGATTTAATAACAGTCGTGTGACATCACAGACTAGTGAGACGCCATAGTGTCCGGAGAAACGTTTTCGCGGCAACTACAAATGGAATTTTTGATTTAGTTTATTTTTACTGATGAAGTACACAACAGAATTATTTATATCTACTTTTCATGGACTCCAAAAATATTAGAAAATAATGAGAGATCGTATTGAAAAACATATCAAATACCTCCTTCCAAATTTTGGAACTCATGGTGTGACGTCACAGTCTATGGTAACCAGGGTTGCCAAGTTTTAAATCTCTTCTAAACTATCTTGTATCTGGAATAGTAATAAAAATAATAATATAATTTGATATCATTGTACAAACCGCAGAGGGAGGGAGGGGAACAACCCATTAGGAAACCCTGTGTATTAGCAGTGAGGACATCAAAAAGACCGATGATTATTATGATATAGGTGTAAATAATGTAAGAAAACACACCACCACATTCGTATCATATTGTCAAGCTGGTTTTTAATTAGATGTATATTTCCAACTTGGTTCATATTAGAGGGAAGAGCGATTCAAATACGGTAGTATTTGAAAGAAATGAAAGGTATTTCAGAAATATACATGTCGCGATTTCTTGTATCCAATTATACCGAATGACTAGCTATACATAATGGATACAAAACAGTCCAATTATACCGATCTTGTATAAAATTATACGATCTGGCAGCCCTGATAGTAATCTAGCAACACAACAAACAAGGATTAGGAGGTTAGGTGCGCGCGCACTACTCACTCGCACTAGGTCTCGTTGACTTTGACATAATATTCTGTGAACATGGCGCTTGTTTGTTTATTTGTTGTTATGTGTTTCTACGCTGCAACCACTCTGTTGCGTTTCAGATATTTGAATTTCCCACAAGTTTTTTGCACTTTTCAATAATAAATTTATTTCTCAAAAATACTTACATATTATTAAAAAAAATATGGAGGGACATTTCAAAAGTAATAGAGTTTACAAAAGTAATAGAATAAGGCTCAAATTATTTGTTGCATATTCCTGCATATTCCCTATTAAGTTTATTTACCTACGCAAAGTAAACGTGTAGTGTACTTACTTATATATCGTGTATTAAAGATTAAAAATATTGTGTAAGGTAATTCTTATTACGTCTGGTGTTCATAAAAGAAGTTTCTCTAGTAAATTGTCAGTTTTATTTATTATATTTTATTACTTAAACAATTTTACTAAATAGGAATTTCCTATATCGTTTAAAAGAATATTTTTTGCCCTACATGATACGCTCTCTAATTGAATTTCCTGCGACGATTAGGTCAGTATCATCTACTATAGTGAGAATATACGAAATTGTGTGCGGGATATGTAATCAACATAGATCCGTGGTGGTAATCAACAATAAAAACAATTTACGGCTATCAAAGTTATTTTTGTTTTTAATATCCTTGGTGGTCAATAATCCAATATAGTACAGATTTAAATAACACAATACAGTATAGGAATTAAAAAACCGGCCAAGTGCGAGTCGGACTGGCGCACCGAGGGTTCCGTAAAAACCTGATTTAAAAAAAAAAATTCTTTATTATATGATGTTACTAAAAATTTACGGATTTCACAATTTTTCCTTTATCTGTTCTATAAGACGTTATTTCGTACCAAATTACAAGATTCTAAGTTCACGGGAAGTACCCTGTAGGTTTTGATTCCCGTGAGAGTTTCGAAAATTTGCGGAAATTTGTGGCATAGACGGCTGTATCTTTTGATTGCTTTTGGCTTAGAAGTTTGATTTTTTCACAGCTCCAAGGGAAAGTAGACCTGAGTACTAGATATGAATTTCAGTTTGATACCTCCACGTGACGGACAACAAAGTGATCATATATGGGATCCGTTTTTTCTAATAAAACGATATTTAGCGTTAGTTGTACGACAGAGCTAGTTAAACTTAAATTTTACCAAAACTTATTGAGAGTTACAGATTTTCTAGTAATATTTTCTTTAGATTTAAAACATCGAGTAGTTATATGCTATTTTTTCTTTCAAATATTTAATACTTTTAAAAGTATTATTTGTCATTGTGGATTATCTACAATGCGAAGAGATGGCGCAATCTTGCAGCTTAAGAAAGGCTAGAAATAATTCGACACGGCCATCACGGCCGCGGTAACATAAATGGTCAGTGCCTTCGCCCGGATAGCGAAGGGTGCGGATTCGAATCCCGTCTGCTGCCTGGTCCGCGTGTTTTTTTTAGTAGTATTTCTTTACATTTAGAACATTGAGCTAATAAAATAAAAAATATGCTTACAGTTATAGTAAGTTATTGCAACTGACGCCTAGTGTAGTTTAATGCTTTTGTGGAAGGCTGTGCTTATAAGTATTCCAGTGTTCTATGTTTGCCATAGTCTAGTATGTACACACATACTAGTCTGGCAAACACAACACACAATTCAAAAACGTCTACGCAACATGTATCATTCACGAACTGCGAGTTTTATCAGTTGATATTTTATTTTATCGTTATAAAATTAATAATTTATTCAAACGTTTTCTTGCTTTAGTTACTGATAAATCAAATACTGAGGAGCTCGATGGCGCCAGTGGTTAGCGAGTGCGGCTGCGGTCGTTGAAGTTGAGCAACTTTCGCAGTGGTCGGTCATTGGATGGGTGACCAAAAATTTACTATCTCGAGCTCCTCCGTGCTTCAGAAGGCACGTTAAGCCGTTGGTCCCGGCTGCATCTGCAGTCGTTAGCACCCACCAACCCGCACTGGGCCCGCGTGGTGGGTCATGGCCCAATCTCCCTAATCCATCCATAGGGAAGGCCTGAGCCCCAGCAGTGGAGACATTAATAGGCTGATGATGATGAAATCAAATACTTAGGTTATTATTATTAACAAAAGCATACAACTTAAGTAAAGTATTAAAAATCGGTTACAAGTTCAAAGAAGTTCATGTTGCTTAGACTCTTCGTAGTGGTTTATTTAAGATCACTTTTTTGCATAGATCTTTGATCTGTACTGGTTACTCGAAGATCCTGAAATTGTTAGTAAGTATCGGGTAAAAAAGATGCCAGCAATGAGTATCACAACTGTGTGAAAGTGGAAGCTCAGTGGTTGGATACGGTAGTGATGATGATAGTAATTGAAATGTGATAATTCTTTGGGGTTACTCTAGCGGGAAATGCCATTAATTATCGCGATTATAAAGGTTTAACGTACGCGCGGTCTGAGTTAAACTGCATTTGTGTGCAAATGATGCAAAAATAGCAGAATTATTTTCAGACTATTAATTTGTTAGATTATTTTATTCGCTATGGTTACTGCCTACCGTTATACTCTATGGTCTTCATTGATTCTATAACCTAATTTAAAACTCGGTCACGATTTTGGATGTTACATTTCATTAAAATAAAAATTAAAAAAAAAAAAAAGTAGGTAGGCATGTACGGTAAACTGTAAATTTAATGCAGCCACGAACTGCTACAGTAATATACTAAACGAGTTAATTTATCAAAATAATCATGTTGCATGTTATAAAAGATCTAGTTTTGTTAAAGTTCCGAGAATAGAACCTGTTTTTTTTGTTTTGACATTGTTTCATTTACAAAGGTTGCACCGTGCTCAAATGCAAATTCAAATATTAGACCAGGGGAAATGAGTTTATCGCAATTTTTGGGGAAACTACAACTCCTATCGAAAAAAATCAGTGGCAAAATTGTAGATAATTAAGAGATCTACTATTTATTATTTAGACTTTAAAGAAAGGTTTAAAAAACCAATAGGTTATTTTGATTTTTCGCGGATATTTTTAATTTCTTTAAAAAAACTATAAAACTTTAAATAAAACGTTGTAGATCTTTTTACTGTGTATAATTTTACGATCGAATTTATTTTTATAAAGGTTGTAGTTTCGTCTCTTACCCATTAAAATATCAGCCGCCACCCTCCCCGACCTCAAATTGCCTGTAATTTATTATTCCTCTTTTTTTAATGTGTTCTCTTCCTTTTGGTATGGGTTTTAGCCTGATCCGTTGTTTTTTCTCTTAAAAATTATTGATCCTTGTCTAACTGTGGAGTAAAGTTTAAAAAATTACATAACTCATCGTTCTAAGTAGGTTTAAAATTCTGGATCGTTCGCTCGATGCCTGATGACTGTGATACAACACCTGATATGAGTAAAACCGTTTTTTGTGCAGCCCCCTCAGGCGGCATCGTGACTCATTCCGTCATTAAGTAAACTAGCTAACTTAGAAATTTTCACCCCCCCCCCCCGTCTCGCCCCTTAAAAGGTGATATCTGGGAAAAATCTATCCTATAATGCGATTCAACTAAGAATAGGATCGATTTGGCGCCATTCTGTGATGTCAAAGCTGTCAATTGAAACAAAATAGGTAGAGTAATAAAAGATTTTCTTCGATAAAACTTATTTACTAAGATTAAGTGAGAAAAAACATCAGTTTTTTTTAAATAAAACTTATTTATTAAGATTAAGTGAGAAAAAAAACACCGATTTTTAATAACATTTATGACTGTGTGAGTAAAAATATTAATCGGAATCTACCTCTTCAATTCCGCTCAGCTCTGCATAACTACCGGAGTTATCATCGTCGTCATGTTTGTTAACAAATGTTTGGTTTTTTTATTCTAGAATTAGCTGAGTGCTAAAACAGAGTTCCAAGATTTTTTGCAAACCGTACTTTTCAAGCGTCATTTGACAGATGGAGGTTATTGGCTTTCCTATTCTTATTTGAATCGCATTATATGTTTTTTTCCTGGTGAGAAATACCAAATTTCTTTTAAATCCTTACAAACAGGCAGACACACTTTCGCATTTATAATATTAGTATGGATAATGTGAGTTCGGCTATAGGCTATATCGTAGCTGTGTATTTTTATTTTAATACATTGTTATATCGCAAATGTATTCTCCTTGAAAGCGTAAAACACAAACTAATGTGTTACTAATTAACTATTGAACGCAATTTGGTCGCTTATCTTCTTATGGTTTTAGGGTTCCGTAACCAAAGGGTTAAAAAATTACCAAGACTCCACTGCCCGTCTGTTAGCAGGCTGTATCTCATGAACCATGAAAATTTTCACAGATGATGTATTTCTGTTGCTGCTATAACAACAAAATATTAAAGACACAGAATAAAGTAAATATAAGTTTGGCTTCCTTGGCGTTAGGTGATTTTTTGGCGTTTTTGCCCGATATTTATAACGGCAAGTACCCTTAGCACGAACCAATATGGAATTCGTATCGTTTGCGAGTACGAAATGTCATTGTCAAATATGTACTGATTTTTAGTTCTCGTTACGTACGTTGTGGCGCTGCTATTCAGATTTCCATACAAAATTTGACAATGACATCTCGGACTCGCAAACTATTAGAATTCGATTATGGTTCGTGCTAATGGTACTGGTAAACGCTTGAAATATTCATAGAAAAATAAGTTGTATATTCACTTTAAAAATAAATATTTAAGGGGGGGATACTATAGACGTGATTGTTTTGCTGTTTGTCTGGCTCGATATTATAATTTAGTGTCTAATGTTGTATATATAAACGGATACTTCGTGCGCGAGTCCGACTCGCACGTTGCCGGTTTTTTACAGTTTACACCTCACAAGAGCACAAGAGTTAAGTAAAAATTATAGACACATAAGTGGTAGTAAATATGTATTAGGTAGTATGAAGTTAGAAAATTCTTATATACTTAGTTCTACTCGTTCTGCGTTTTTATTGATTTTTCTAATAGGTAGGAATAGCGTGTCGCGATTTCCGCTCGTGACATAAAGTAATTTGAAACATACTTGAAAGCTATTAAACATACTATAAAGCCTCTGTTACAAATACTACATGAAATTACGTAAACATTACATTTATACATTAACATTATCATAGAAATTAAATCCAACAACCACGGGTTTGAAATCTACTGGGACGAGATGTTGATTTAATGAACGAATTTTTTAATGGAAGGTGACTTTAGAAGTATCTCGGAAGACATTTTTCAACTTGACGACTCTGTTTATAACAATACAGGGAGAAAAAACAGCCCTTGCTCAGTTTCTTGCCGGTTCTTCTCAGTACAAGGTCTCCCGCCGTAGTTTTCGAACCGATGGCGTAGCTTCTTGACCTGCACAAGTGCTTGTAACAGCTTAGACTGAATAAATACATTTTTTTATTTTGACAGAGGTTTTTTTATTTTTGTCACGGCCTCAGTCTATTCGGGCTTGCTATTTGTTATTTGGCAGCAGGTTGTCCCTATCATACTCCTTAAGGAATAAAAAGAAGAAACTGTTGTCAAATTTAGAAATAGCAAGCACGATTAGACATATGGAGTGCGGCATAAAGTTCATATTGTCAGTTTCACAGAGAAAAAAAAAAACACTTCATTTTAGTCAGTTTTTTGCAATTACAATTGTAACAGAAGAATACAACACGTGACTTCAAAAAGTGTTAAAATAATGATTTCTATGCGTGCGTCTCTTAGTTTTAAGTTTAAACAATGGAAATATAAAATCGTTGCGACTCATACATTATAATTATAATCTAAATAATCCCTTTAGTTGCCTAGTATGAACTGCCAATATATGGTAAGCGCTGTTGGGTGGAATTACACATCATCATCATCATCAACAGCCTATCATAGTCCACTGCTGGACATAGGCCTCTCCAAATGCACGCCACTCAGATCGATCTTGGGCTACTCGCATCCAGCTCCTGCCAGCCACCAACCAGGAATTACACATCCGGACAAATTTATCGGCCCACCTTGAATTTTAAGTTTTACCTAGCTAAATATAAATGTTACATTGAGCAAAAAGTTACCTACGCAGTTTTGATGCTGATCTTTTTGTGTGTTTTTAAAATTATTTCTCAATCATAAACATATGTTTTTTCTACAGACCGTTAAAACTTATAACACTAAGTCGACAGATGTCTCTGGAAGTATATTACCTACTGTATATTGAAATAAAGAAAAAAAAAACAGATTTTAGCAATCGAAGTCGTCAACATGTGGCAGTGTTTATTCACACTCCATCAAGTGTGTTGTAAGTACTCACTGGACAGAAAACATCTGTAGTTGGAAGTATTATACAAGACACAATTGCGGTCTTGTGTAGAATTTTTGCTCGCATCTTTGAATCTCTCGACCCATTACTTGCTCGAAGTTTTGGATAGGTTGTCAGGGTCGCGTGACCCGCATTATAGTTTTTAAAAAGGTGACTAACAACTCCGGGCCTCCATAATGACGCCATGAGAATGCGTCATACATAATCCGCGTTCTATCGTCAGGTACCATGACAAGTGTTGTGGAATTAATAACCTTTACTCTACCTTTTCCTTACCTTTATAGGACTACGCGTCGGCTTATGTATGCACTGGCTTACTGTGACTACAATTCCTACCTACTCAAACAACGATATTTAGTGATTTATTAATCTGTCGCATTATTCACCTTTGTCTAGCTGGTAAATATAAATGTAGTTATCGATACTTCTACCTGTAAATTACTATAACACTAAAGCCCATTTCTTCAAGTTTGGTGCTGCTATATGTAATTTAACATGTTAAAAAAATACAAGTTATCAGGCGGGTGGATTGGTCGAGAATTTCTATAAACAAATTTCTTTAGATGCAAAAATGAAGCAGCAAACAAATTCTTAAATAAATTACTGAAAACTAACAATATGCTTGTTTCAGGTTAAAAGGAACGTCTTATTTATAAACGCCGGGCTGTTTTATATTCACCCACCAACGTAGGGAAGGCGGCGTAGACGAATTATTTATTAGCTATTAACGTGACTCTTCGCACGCAACCGCTTGGAATGTATACAGTAGTATACACGCTAGCCAACGCAACTTACTCTATTGACTAAGTCGGCACAAGCTGAATTCAGCCACATGCTTGGGTGTATGAAATTCATAATGGGTATACTTTGAGATTCTAAATATAGAAAACTCTTTTATACTAGCTCCGTGTGTTGGATGAAATTGCTAAAATAATGGTTTAATTATTATGTTTTCACGTACTCAAATCATTTCGTCAATTATTTTTGGCGCAATTTATTAACTTTTTATTTTTCTGATTTTCGGATCCTTTACTGGTACAGTAGTCGCAAGTTGTCAACTCGCCAGTCTTGTTTTATCAAGTTAAAATAGTATGGTGTTCAGAAAATAATATTTAATTACATTTCTTTAAAATATAAACATCGAGTAATGTTATAAAGGTTTATTTTGTAAAACATTCAAATTTCCTATGGTGAGGCGCTAAAATGTTTTGTTGTAGCCAACATATCTTAAAGAGAATACTTTTGGAAGTCACGAAGTAAAGTTAGCATTTAATAACAGCTGTATTGGCATTAAAACATATTCACTGACGTGGCCATGACTGTTTTATCGATACTATTCATTAATTATTTAATTAAAAATTCACCAAACCACAACTAAGAAAGAAAATAAGTATGTTTAAATCTAAAGAAAAGTTTACTAGAAAAAAATCCACGCGGACCAGGCAGCGGACGGGACTCGAACCCGCATCCTTCACTATCCGGGCGAATGCACTGACCATTATGCTACCACGGCCCTATTAGCCGCGTCGAAATTTTCCTAGCCTTAAGCTGCAAGGTATACCTATATATAGAGCTGAAGTGTAGACTACAGTTTTTGTTCTCAGGCTTGTATTATATATAGCTTTATTGTGAGTTACCTACAATGCGAATAGATGGCGCTGCCTTGCAGCTTAAGTCTAGGAAAATTTCGACGCGGCTAAAAAGGCCGTGGTAGCATAATGGTCAGTGCATTCGCCCGGATAGCGAAGGATGCGGGTTCGAGCCCCGTCCGCTGCCTGGTCCGCATGGATTTTTTTCTAGTAAACTTTTCTTTAGATTTAAACATCTAGCAGTTAAATGCTTAAAAAATCATAAATAAGTATGTGTTAATGTTCACTTAACCATCTCTGTTTGCTGTTATTATCAAAGTCTAGTTATTTGTTATGGCCGCACTTTACTGTTTTTCTTTTGTAAATTCTATTGAGAAAATAAATGTCTTTAACCGTATTTACTTTGTGGTAACAATAGAATGAGACAGCATGTGACATGTGATGATGACGGGTTAAACTTAAAAAAAAATCTATTCAGTCCGTCATTTACATTATTGAAAAATAATAGACAATTATTTTGTTCTTTTGTCAACAAACCAAAAAATGACAAAGATAAACCGCGTCAATGTTTATGAGGGGGGGGGGGGGGGCTCGTGACGTCAATGCTAAAGCTGCGTTGACATGTTCAAACTCTGCTTAGCAAACATATTTTTGATCCATGATGAAAACTAAAAGCACATATCGGATTCGGACGTAAAGCCGAGCATGACATGGTCAAAGTCAACTTTGACAAAAGTTGAGGTCCACCTTCGACTTTGATTGGACGCCAACATCAAAGTGCTCTGTAATTATTGTTTAATGCGATCAAAGTAGAGTAAAAGTAGTTATCAAACATAGCTACTTTATCAAAGCAGACTTAGAGCATGTCAACGCGGCTTAAGTAAAAATTTCTACCAAGACGTGAAGTCATGCGACATTTCGAATCAATATATCTCTGTAATGTATTGATTATGTGAAAAAAATTACGTGTCCAATACGTTTTCATAATCTACCTGATAGACGAAGACAAAAAGTTAGTCATCATCCCTATTAGGGCGCACGAAATATCGGAGTTTTGACGATTACTGAATAAACTTGATTGTACTTGGTCACGCAATATTTTTGAAATGATAAATCCACTAAAACCTAGTTAAGCTTAGACACAATTAATTAGGATATATGTAAGTCACCACAATACTTGTATCCTGAGATAATTTGAAATACATCTGGTCACTATGATTAGTCAGTAAGTTAGTAGCTGGGCACCAATCAAGGGCTTAGCATTGGGAAATATAAGATAACATACTAGATTTGAATTAATTTCTCTAGAAAAAATAAACTCTGCCGAATTTTATTCAGATCATTTTATAAGTGCACAAAACCAGTTACAGTTAAATATAAATTAAAACAAAGCTTTTACAATATTATTACACCAACTCCTACTTGTGTTAAAACCATGAGCTCAAGTTTTCGGTAAAAGTATTAAAATAAGTAGAATTTTAACAAAACATTTGCATAAGTACAAATGAACTGACCCTTTTTTAATACAGTATTAATCTTTGGATTACTTTCGTAAATTCTGGAAGCCGACTACAAATATAAATAATCAAGCAATACGAAATGTAAGAATAACCTATAGGTACTAACTGAAACAGTTATTTTTAACGTAATGTATGCATATTTATATATTTTTTACCAGAATTAAATTAAAACAAAAACGCAAAAAATCATGAAGATATATGGAAGATTGTAAAAAAACAGTAGATAGATTAAAAAGAGAATACAAATTGTATTACACAGAATATTAGCGCTGCTGCGGCCTTGTACCAAATTTCGTGGTGGCAGCCCACAGAACACTGCTCTTTCTGTGTTCTGTGTGGCAGCCCATACTGAGGCATAGACCTATATTGGCATATTCTTTTGATATTTTTTTTATGTTTTTATAACCTAATATAATTCATTCTCTTTACATATTTATAATTTAATGTTCTACTATACAAGCTTTGGCTCCAACAAGGCATTGATGGACTGAATGTAAGCCTCAGCTTCGCCTCGGTCCACATTTTACTCGTTTGTCCATCAATGCCTCTTTTGTTGGTCGTTGCAGTAATGTAGTATTCTTTTTCTTTCTTGCTATTACTGATATAAAATGACGTTGCATTCGGGTAACAATCGAGACATTTGAAAAGTAACTGTCAGAGAGGATTTTTAAATACCTATCATTATTACGAAAATGCTACCTATCTGAAGAATTTAAAATCACCGCAAATTACGTTTATAGCCAGTACTTAAACTAGTTTTAAAGACTGTCATTTATCTTTATTGAACTATAAAGTTTTCTCTATATCTGTGTTGGCACGCTATTAGGAAGATAAGCAACCAGATACGGGAATTTACCATTATAATTATGTTGTGATGTTTGAATACTAACAGATCGTAGTGAAACATGTTTTTTTTTGTATAATAATTTACAAGACTAATAATATAAAATTTTGCTAAAGATGATTTATTTGTTGCACAATTAACGACTCAACAAATATGACGCGTTAGGAATATAGTTTTGTTCACTGTCTTTCCCCCTTCACCAAAAATTCGAAAAAATATTGAAATAGATAAATTAACCATAAAACTTTTAACGTAATACATATAAAAATAACTACAATACAACGATGACACATGGCACATGGGTAGTCGTATTTGAAAATTACATTCAGACGAAATCGCGGGAATCTCACTTGTTTTTCTATATCATCATCAGCCTATTAATGTCTCCACTGCACAGGCATTGCCTATGGATGGAATAGGCAGGTTGGGCCGCCACCCGAAACGCAGTCCCAGTGCGGATTGGTGGGTACGACTGCAGATGCAGCTGAACCAAGGCTTAACATGCCTTCCGAAGCACGAAGGAGCTCCGGATAATAAGTACTTGGGTAAGTTTTTGGTCAACCATCCAATGACCGACCATTGTGAACATAAGCAACTTTCACGATTGTAGGCCGAACGCGCTAGCAAGCTGCGCCATCGTGCTTCTTTCCTATTGGACATGGCCATATAGAAACAGTAAACCACTATGGTAATTTGGAATTATGCGTTTCGTTACATAACATATGAAAGTTTTCATAATGCAAAACTATTTGGTCTA